CTCTCTCTCTCTCTCTCTCTCTCTCTCTCTCTCTCTCTCTCTCTCTCTCTCTCTCTCTCTCTCTCCCTCTCTCTCTCCCTCTCTCACACTCTCTCTCTCTCTCTCTCTCTCTCTCTCTCTCTCTCTCTCTCTCTCTCTCTCTCTCTCTCTCTCTCTCTCTCTCTCTCTCTCTCTCTCTCTCTCTTTTTAGTACTTATATATTATAGGTATAGACTATAAGCAGGCAAAAACAGTCATACATCTCTCTCTCTCTCTCTCTCTCTCTCTCTCTCTCTCTTTCTCTCTCTCTCTCTCCCTCTCTCTCTCCCTCTCTCTCTCCCTCTCTCTCTCTCTCTCTCTCTCTCTCTCTCTCTCTCTCTCTCTCTCTCTCTCTCTCTCTCTCTCTCTCTCTCTCTATCTCTCTTTCTCTCTCTCTCTCTCTCTCTCTCTCTCTCTCTCTCTCTCTCCCTCTCTCTCTCCCTCTCTCACACTCTCTCTCTCTCTCTCTCTCTCTCTCTCTCTCTCTCTCTCTCTCTCTCTCTCTCTCTCTCTCTCTCTCTCTCTCTCTCTCTCTCTCTCGCAAAAACAGTCATACATAAAATCATAAATATAACTTTATTCTGAAGGAGCAAGGGGGGAATTCGATCGCTTCTTCATTGTGCAGGGAAAACGTAGCAACAACTTGCAAATAAATCCAATTCCAACTGTAAGCGAAGATATCGGCCGGGAAAAATCATAAATTTCACGTGACTTGAGTCATGTAATGAAAACCTTTGTCTGTAGCCTTGACTGTAGCTCTCAGTCTCAACAATCTCTCTTTTGAAGCGAGACATTGTATCAAAGACATTAATAAAGGGCAAGAATGCATGTGCAGCATGGATTCTTTTGTCGTCAAAATCTGAGAGTGTATTAATGCTTTTCATGCAAACAAGTGAAAACGAATCTTTTATGTCATGTATCCAGGGTTTGGACTGGAATTGCCCGCTTAAAGAACTTCCATCGCGTTACATTACATAATTTTCTGAAACATATATTACATTTACAATAAATTATGCAATATCACAACATTACAATCAACAAAATAAATTTAATCGCAGAATCTTAAATACAAATAATCGTAAATTAAACACAAAAAACAAATTAAACAAGCAATAAATCAAAATGAATATACAAATGCGCATCCTTTGACAACTTACTCCTTCATAAAATTAATTTTTGACAAAATAATTTTTCTAAATTTGAAATTCTAAATACTGAAATACTGTAACCCTGAACTCAGCATCAAATAAAATGACCCGGTGATCTCAAGCATTTGTGGTCATAAACACTAACAACAAAAGATATGGCGAAAAGACAGTAAAGACAAAAAGGCTTTACATTTTGATTGACGATGCCAACCCTTGCCAGCTCGATCGTACAGCCAGTACAGCCAGTATAGTAGCTCTGCTACGATCTCGTAGCGAAGTAAATATGATAATGCACGCGGAGCGACGTCGGTCGTCCTCAAAAGATCGATCGCACCATTTATGATTTATATTAGTAATACTAATAGTTGCGCGTGATTTATCTTTTGTGAACCAGCTTCCGCTGCACTGATTGTTTTTGCACAAATAACGTCCGATAACTATAAGGTATAATTATATTAATATAGTTTTAAAATATACGCATAATTATAAGTATTTATCAAATACCGGGATATTTCTTGCGGGTCTATCAGTCTATTTTGCATCCCGGCTATTCTAATTCACTATTTCACTCAATACCCGGCCGTTCCGCGTTTAATTATTGAGCGAATATCACCTATAAGCCTATATATAGGATGATATTACTTTAAGGTACCATTAATTTTAAAACAGTTTATAAAAATCAGTAGTGAATTAATAAAAAGGTTAATTCACAACCTTTTCATTCATCCATGGTTGCATGGAGTTCATGTACACAAACTCCAAAGCAAAAATCAAGAGCTCTTGAACAAGCTCTCTGAACAGATCAAGGACAGTACAAATGTTGTCTACGGAGAAATTACCTTGCCGTCAGTGCGTGAGTACACATATCTTGGAATTACGTTCACACTCACGGGATCATTAAAACTTGCTCAGATAAAGCTTCGACAAAAAGGACTCCGGAGCTACTTCTCTCTCAAAATTATGTTTGACCTTCGATACCTCCGGAAAACAATTATATTTAAGCTTTTCAACACCCTGATTGTTCCTGTTCTTTCCTACGCGGGTGCCAGATATGGCTTCCCATGACAAATTTCATGTCTAGTATCTTTGCATCAGGGAATCATCCGGCTACACAGGATACAGCAAAAGTTCACCTATCATTCATGAAATGGACCATGAATTTCATCAAATCGACTTCGAACACCGGTGTTTGGGGTGACACTGGAAGATATCCGCTTGCTATCGAGCTTTCGTCCCAAGACTATAGCTACCTCGGGAGGTGTGAGGGACTGTACAAAGAGGGATGCTCTTCCTTAGTAAGGCACGCTTACGCCGAGCAGAGGGATCTGAAACTGTTATGTTTCTCCCGGCTGGAATCCACCAGTAACACAGTAAAACAACTATCAGGAGGAAGCGATCTTTCAAACCCTCTCAAAGTCAGCGAGGCTATGAAAACCTTTTTTGAACAAAGAGCGAAAACTACTAATTAACGGTAACCTCATCAAGACAAGATTCGATTGCAAGACATACCTGTCGATCAACCTACGGCCACAGCAGACAGTAGACTAGGATTCCTATCACGTCGTGACCCCCATTGTCGTTTCACTATAGTGTAGAAATTCTACACTGTAGAATTTCTACGATACAGGGGGAGCCGCGCTCTCGTGCGCGGCGGGTCATACAACGTATGACAAGCACTACCTACTAGGAGACTTGCGCATCTCAGAACAAGCTCGCATCAATACAACATCGAAACGAAGACACGGCATGCATCTCCATAAACTTTAGAATAGGGCATGTAAACACTGTTCTACTAAAAATGTGGAGTCATTCGACCTTCTTCTAGAGCTTCCTTTCCCTGATCCAATCTGAATCATCGAAGATGAGCTTCATGTATTGCGCACTTACTTGTTACTTGTAAGTTTATAACCTACCAAGACACGAACCGAGTTGGACTCGATGAAACAAATATTTTACGAATATCATCCGTTAAGCACTTGCCATCTCTAAGTCTACGAAGATTTCCGTCACTGTTTGTCCCCACAAAGTAAAACATTACTCTTCTGATATTGCAATTGGACAGATCTTCAGACACCCGCCTACAACCATCGGAGACCTAGGAGTAGAACGGTTCCTTACCAAAGCTCATGAACGAAGATTCCCTAAAGCATCCTCTAAACAAATCCCTAACAATAACAATATTGCCTAATAGTAATATAATGAATTAAGACTCGGAAAACTTTTATAAGATTTCATATTCAAATTATTAAAAAAATAAATCTCATTCTGAAGATTTGCGGGGCTTATTTTTTGTTTATTATAGTGGTTGCAATTTTATTCTCATTCTCTTGTATGTTATATATTAATTACTGGGCGGTGCTCGCGCTCAGCTTAGCCTGTCATTCCGCCGAAATCCGAATCTCTATTCAATGTTTATGAACATAATAGCCTGTGGTCCCCAGGTACGTAAGTATGTTATATACTTTTTAACTTTTGGGTTGCTACAATTTGTAAATATATATTTCTCTCTTGCACGCGAAGCGTGCACTGCAGCCGGCAGCCGCAGGGGTTCTAGCGTGTGTGGTGTGTCAACTTTTTATTTGGGTAAATTTACTATTTATATTGGGTCAGATATTACCATTGTAATTTGACTTTTGAATCGCGTTTAATCCGTTTAATCCGTTTAATCCGTTTAATTATCCGTTAGTTATCCTATTTCATAATATGGTAATTAAAGCAAAGTCTTCGAATTACTGCAAGCGCGAAGGCATCAGTTATATAATTATATATTAGCAGGAACCCGTATAACCCTAAAATGGTGTCAAGACTCAAGAGACTAAAATAATGTTTATAGCTATTAAATTTGCGGTTTTGAGTTTGACACCACTTGGCGCGGGGGTACAAACTTTGAGGTTTTAAAACTCCTATAATTGGCCAATTTTTATATTTTGCATGCTCCCAGCAAACCCTACCGGCTGGGGTATATCTCCAAAAGTAAAATAAATAGATCCTTCCGGTTTTCAACAAAATTTCCGTCTCGTAAATTTAAAGTTAGCTCCACAAGAGCCAAATTTGGGACAACTTAGATTTTGAATTAAACCGAAAAGTTTGATTTTGGGCTAAAAATAAAAGATCATAAAGTAATGTCGTTGTCATAACTACTAGGCTAAATGCAGCGTGCGAAAGCTGGTGAACTTGATGTGAGGCGCGACAAAAAAACTTGCTGTTGAAAATCGATCACCTCTATCTAGCCCGGCAGGTGGTAAGGTTTTCTAAGCTGATTTGGAGGTTAACGGGTGATACTCGTAAAATGTCTGTTCCATATATTCGTACAGGACCGCGTTGACGAGTCCAACTCGGCGCGCGTCTTGGTAGGTTATAAACCTACAAATTTGGAGGCCATTAAAGCATTTGACCCCGTCAAAAAAGTTTCAGTTGTATATCTTTTACGGTTTTTGTGTAAAGTCGCGTTAAAGTTAATGCCGTGGTGTCAGTAAAATGGTACGAATCCATCCATCCATAAATTGCTTGCAGACAATGTCAACTGTTAATTGATCTTTGCAGCTCGGCGAGGCCCAGTAGCGCATTTCGCCGAGACCCAGGAAAAGTTACCGGCCAGCGGGCGCGCCACCAATATGATAGTTTCGATACAGCTGAAGACACCGCGCGTGTCTGTCAAGTAATTAGCCATTACAATTCATGTTTAGATTGCGCGCGCATAGGAATTCTGTCAAGAATAGTTAAATTTGACCACAAAATGCCATAAATGTATTCACAATGATTGAATAGTGATGGTAAAAATTCAATCTTTAAAAGAATTTTTGAATTTTTAGTTTTCGTTCAACAAAACCGATTTTACAGTTCAAAAGCAGAATTTTCAACTTTTTAATAACAATCCCTTCACGCCGCGCCGATATGTGTTTCTGTACTAATTTGCGCTCTTATTTCGCGTTGGATACTTTTACCTATAGATATGTCATTCTATAATTAGGATTGTTTCTGGGGCTCGCTTGCAATATATATATATTCAACATTTTCTTTCCTATTTCCGTACATTTTGTATTTTCCTCGTTCGTGGTAATTAGTTTTTATTAGCACAATGAGCAAACGATCACGTACCGAAATAGAAGTTCAATTTCTTAGCGACTGTGTATACTCTGCGTTAGTCAAATCTGGATACTCAAAGCTTCCTTTCTGTAAGTACATTTTGGCACATTTTGTATTGTCAGAATTTGACGGACGCGTAGAAGACCATGTGAATCAATTTCCCCATTATTTTGGTTACGTTCGTAATTACTTGGATTCGCGAAATTTTCGTCGAATTATTGGTCAAGCCAAGTGTATCGCCGATAATAAAGAGGTTTTAGATTCTCTTAAGCAGACTTATAGGAGTGATCAAATTCGCATTTCACATGAAAACAGTAGGCCACAAGTAGAAGGCGTCCCTTGTAGTGTTTGTTTTAATTTGTCAAACAATGACGGAGGTGATAATTTGAAAAGTAGATGCAACAAAATTTTATCCGGATTTGCTAATAACGAGTTAGGTCGTGGAAAGAGTTTTAAGGAAATCCATGAATGCATTTGCAGGACTTCCTACGAAATTCTTTCTAGCTACGATAAAAGTGTCGAAAATTTCGAAATATCTTTGAGCGAATTAAAAGTGGAATTTGAGCGGTACAAATCGGAACTAACCATCAATGTTGCAAAATTCAATGATCATTTAACCGAGGCTAGTGCGCTTATCCACTATGGCAGTGGTCTTTCAGGAAGTCAGGTCGAGAATTTAGACCGTACTATATTTTGCACTGAATTTTCTAAAACAGACATCGAGCAACATCTGTCTAATCTACCAGATTATCGCCACATTAAGTCATCCGATCCAAATATTGAGCTTGGGGACCTGTTTAATGAATACTGTTCGCACGTCCTTACGTACCATTTCGAACCAAGTTTCTTTAAACTGGGTACAAAATATAGTTTAACTGGCCCTAAAGGAGGGAAAAGATTGTCCGATTATGCACAATCTGTCTGCTTAAATTACCTTTTACTTCCGAGAAATCATGGTATTTACAGTGAGTTAAGACCCATACTTGCTGTCCACAGTAATGCTCGGACACGCTACAAGCCCCACCCTCTAGTTGACGATCTTTATATCCCAAGAATTCCTCCAGCTAGTGTCGCTGATGAAAAAGTTGAAATACTAAGAGAACTCCAATCAATTTTGCTGGGGACTCCCCAGATACCACTTTTGTATGAAGGTTGGGATTTGGTTAAATCATGTCCTAAACAGGTAGCAGCTAACTCACGATTAGTTGACCTTATGTCAATTAGAGAACATTCCCTAAGTTTCCAGTCTGGTAATAATTTCTTGAAGGCCAAACCAAAAGAGCATTACCAAAATTTGTCGATTGACGAGGTGAAATGCACCTTAAAGAGTTATAGTTTGATTTGTGAGAGCGACTTCCAAAAATACGACGAAAGTTTTCTTAGAAAAAAACTTGAAGAAGCTGAGTCTACAAGGAGCTTTGCAATGTGGTATGATCACGCCGTTATTTTAAACAGAAGTTACATCCTTTTTGTCGTTTGGCCTTTATACAGCAAGTCCCTTTACCAATCAAATGATCTATGTGAAGGGGATTTACAAAAAGCTGTCGAGCAAATTTACATCCATTACATAGCTATGTCTCCTTCGACAACCAAAAGCGAAGAGGCATTACAAGAATTTAGAACTAACCAGTTAGCTGCCTTTAAAGTTACAATTAAAACAAACTGCGGAATCGAATTCACGGACAGATTAAAATTTGTGAATGGCGATGCGCCTGTAAGGAGTGTTGAGAATGGTTCAAACAAGAGTGGACCGTATCGTAATCCTACCTTATTAGAATGCTTCCCTATAGATCATTATGAATATTACGAAATTGTAAAATTTGAACACATGACATTCGACAAAACTACAAAACATGCTAATAAAGGTGGGTTCTTCGAAAATCCTGAAAATCGCGGAAAATCGCTACAAGATTTAAAAGATAAACCCGCCTCAGCATTAGAATTAATGAAAATAAGATGGCCACATAAGCGTCTTGATAATATGAATAGCGAACAGATAAAAGAGTTTTTGAAAAATGACTTAGGGGGTATAAGGCGACCCCCTATTCTATTCATGGCTACTCCTGATAAATCACCTGAAGAAATTGGTCTTGAAGGGGCTGAACTTTTGGGAAATGAATGTCTTCATGGTCTCAGAGGCGAAACCCTCAAATCATTCAAACACATTCCAGGACCTCAAGGTGACGGACCATTAAAATTAGTACATGAGATTATATCCAATTGTTGTAATTTTGATTACGGATCAAAACACGAAAAATCTGGCGAGTCAGTTTTTAAGAATTTAATTGAAATTGTCCAGAAACTAGAAATGAAATTATTTCCAGACGGGTTGTCCTGTAATATTTGCGGGGATATTTTTACTTTGTCAATTGTGACCAAATGTCCTAAATGCCTTTATTATACTTACTTCAGAGCACTTCTAGAAATTCATATATTTGGATACAAAGATGAGTCTAAACGGTCAGGTGCCTCCACATTGCTGCTTCATAATATAATTTTTGTATGGTTTAAAACTTTGAAAGAAATACAGATTACGATACCTACTGCTCTTAAAGTTATTAATTCTATTTACTTCCTCGGCATAGTTTACTACATGGGTCCAACATTCGAACTTACTAACTTTTTGTCAGTGCATGCCGGACGCATGGAAGATATTTTTCGGCAACTGAAGGTCTCTGCTCACAGTTTTACCAATCGAAAACACTTTCAAGAGAGTTTCCTGCTTAATGTCCTAAAACGTCAAGAAATCTCCAGATACTTTAAAACTGCAAACAATTTCAAAACTTATCGTAGCACAGTTTCTTCTGCCATCACTGCATTTCATCAAAGAAGTCCTATTCCTGACATTGTTTTTACCAAAGAATTTATAACGTCCAACATCCAAGACTTTGCAGGACACGTTTATCGCATTTCAAATTTTGTCGTTTCCAATACTAATGAACGATATATGAGTTTGTCCTCGGAAAACGACCTTAAATTCTTTTCCTCTAGAGAATGTCGCTCAGAAAACTGTCTGTCATCATGCCCACCATGTTTATCAAAGTTATTTCCTGATTTCCCAATCCACAATATATTGACATCAACGATTGAGATAATTCTAAATACCAAAGCTGCTATCTATCAGAAATTTGCTTGCAACATTTTTGTCAATGGTGGGGTAGATTTCTCCAATTTGCGTAAACTATTAGGTCAGGGCCCACTATTAACACCTGATATCATAACGTCAAGCGAAATAATAGAAAATATTAACATTGATAGGGAAAATCCTAGCAGACAAAAGCTGCCAGCAAACTTTTCGTCAATGTTGAAATTATTGATTGAAATGTTTCCCTCTGATCCTGAAAAATACGATAAGCTTAAACACAGCAACATGGCTAAATGTATTTCCAAAATTCTTAACGCTGTCCCAGATGAAATTATTCACTTAGACAGTAGTAGTCGCAGATTAGCCTTGGCATCATCTAGTTGTATTAAGGATCCAAAAGACAGTAATAATAATAGACAGCATAATGAATTAGCATACTATACAAGTAGGATTACGGACTCAATTGAACTCATAAGCACCAAATTGTTATCTTACCAAAAAGACATCGACAAACTATCAGGTGCCGTAGATAAATTAATTACTAATAGGCAATCAACCGATTCCATTGAGGACAATCAGTTTGTCAAGAAACTTAGAGAAAAACAAAAATTAAAGCTCATAGCTCTCGAAGTCTTGAACAAGCTCACCTATGAAATTAATACTCACAATTATTTTATGTACAGATCACTATAAATATTAGAGCAAGCAAGTCCTTGTAACCTATTTTGTATCATTCAGTATGATTTATTTTGTGTCGATTTCAAGTATTATTTATTTTGTGTCAATTGTTCGGTGTAAGTATTAAATAAGTCAGATTGATTCTATTGCAGTTATTTTATGTATCGTGACAAATTTATTTTATGATTGATTTATTCCAAGTTAAGTCATTGCATTTATATTATTTTTATTACATATTTTTATCTTGACTAAATTCAACAAAATTCAACGAAAATTTGTCGAGCAAAACATGTTTACATGTTTTTGAATCCAAAAAGAGTAGTTGCGAAAATTATTTGTTTATTATATACATTTTTAACATTATTTTTGAGAGAAAGATTGAGAAATTGACTGTTGTGTGAGGAGCCATGAAGTACTCATTGAGTTAAGATCACCTATTCGATCCTGCTAGTTGTGTGGTTGAAAAACACTGCATTAGGCTAGATTGTGGATCATAGTGTTGAGCTGGCTCAATGACTGCCTTGGAATTCACACCAGGAAGGAAATGAGCTACCAAATTTAGTTATGAAAGATAGGGAAGGGATTTGATGTAGTAACTTACATTTTTACAAAGTAGTTGGGAAGTAGTTGCTAAATAAATGCAGGGTAAAGTTTAGTTGGTGTAGTAAAAGTATCATGTTAAGCTTGTTTTCTTCTGGAAAAGGTCAGTGTCTCGTTTTATTATTATTTTATCGTCTGTTATTGTAATTATAAGAATCATAATTTTGTAACGTTTTAAATCATTTGTAAAAACATAACAAATATCTGATGCTGCTTTAATAGGTAAGACCTCCTCGTTGGTAAGCAGTGGGTGATGCAGATTTTGTTGGCTATGATTAACCGTTTGTGGGATAATGGCAGGGAGTTTATCCTTATTTTCACGTTTCACAGTAATCGAATTAACATTTTGCTCTTAGAACATTCGCTCGAGAAATATATTCCCTGCCATTGCTCATTTAATGCTGTAAAACATCATCTACAAGCTTGATGTTTTACAGTATGTTATTTTTCCAGCTACAATTTTTGTATTATAATTAGCAGACTATACCTTATTTTATTTTAAAATATTTTAACTGTATTTTAAGTGTGAGTGCAGAATTGAACTGTGTTGATATGTTCCTACAAGATTACAACTGGTTGTACTGTAAGTCTTCTGAGTACCAGCTCAGTACCCCTCACCTTCCTGGTTATATCGTAGAGAAAATCTGACTTTGCCACAACTACGTTCATATTTTGTACAATACAAGGTGATTTTCATTCAGTTTTAAGTCTGTTTAGTAACATTTTAACGTGAATATGACATCACCTGACTATCAGCTCTGTTCTATGCTCATTGAGAACGTTCAAATCAAATTACAACAAAATTGTCATTTTTTCCGATTCTTGGAATATAGTTTAATATTTCATATCCCTTTTTGAATGGTGATTATGTTATTTAAAATAATCTTATCTTAACTTCAGACAGTGTTTCGGAGGGTGACAGTTCCTTCGCTTAAGTACACCAAGACTTCTTTTGAGATGAGGATAAGAATTAGGACCGGTGTCCAGCTTTCCCTGTACGAAAGGTAAGTTATGTCTATCTCTGAGAGCACGTTTCCTTGATGTGTGTAGTGGATTTTTGTTCCGGGGTAGGTGAGACATGTTTTGGTGGTTTAATAGTTAGCACCTGTCCCAAATGGTGATTATGTTATTTATAATAATGTTATCTTAACTTCAGACAGAAATTCGAAGGGTGACAGTTCCATCTCTTAAATACACCAAAACTTCATTTGAGATGAGGATAAGAATTTCATTTTGGACCGGTGTCCGATGGAAGGGAAGTTATGTTTCTCTGTCAGCTTGCCAAATGTTTTCTATCCTTCACTGCAATCGTCAAAAACACGTAAGTATTAATATGATCTTAAATTAAGAATTCTATAACAGACGCGCGCGGCCCTGAATCTTACAGTGCCTCTATGTCAAGGTGACACCCTTTTCCAGCCATTCCATATAAAAAGAGATAGCTTAATTCACATTCTTCTACTGTTCTAGCAAGTTTTTGACTACTTATGATGTATAAAGCAAATAGCGTCAGTTAAGTAAAACAGAAAGCGCGCGCACATACGCGCATATTTTCTTTTTGGTTGTATTGTCGATATTATGTATTATTTATGTCTACCCAAATTTTTTCAGGGAGTCTACTTAAAGATCATGAACATTTTCAACATTCGTCTGAATAAACTGAAGGAACTGTAGCGTAAATATATCTGCAAAGACAGAACATTCTAACTTACTCACCGGATTGGATCGAGCTGTTTTGAAATGTGAAACAAATGAGTAACATATAAATATTTGTTTTATTAGAATTGGTTTAACCCCCCAGTTCCATGGCCAGATATTATGCCAAATTATTAGACGGAGGTCCATTTCCCGTAGATCATCTCCGGAGATGATTCTCCGGCTCCGTCAACTGTATTAGACGGAGATTAAGCTCTGAGCTCTCCGGGAATTTCTCGGAGATTAATTCATACATAATCATACAGAATCAACAAAATTACCGTAGATGGTCTCCGGTCATGGAACTGCAAACCGGAGAAATATCAGTAGACGATCTCCGTCTAATAATTTGGCATAATATCCGGCCGTGGAACTGGGGTGTAAGGAATTGCTTTCTTATGATTTAAATTATTTATAGCGTTGTAGGGCCCTGAAAGTAGATGTTTGGGGCCGTTCACATTACGTAATCGGAGCCCAATCGGAGAGAGAGGCGGTGTTTATATGATAACGTTTGTGTAATTTTAACACAATAACTAACTTGTAACTGTAAAACTGGTTATATAGGGAGTAAGGGAGCTAAAATAGGCTGAAAAGTGATGTCTTAACATATGATCGGAACGACTCTCAGCTGTTTTATTGTAATTGGTGTATCTTGCTCTTATTATTTAAATTTTAGCGTTGTCATGTAGGCCCTGAAAGCAGATGTTTGGGGCCTCGGGCCATTTACATTACGTAATCATTGCGAAGAGAGAGGCGGTCTTCATATGATGTTTGTTTGTGTAATTTTACGAGCCAGATGTTTTGTGTTTGAGTCAAAAGTTCTAAATATTCTGTTACCAGTGCACAGCAAGTTCATCGAGTGTAGTATGAACTTTCAGCACATAAGATAAGAACTACTGTGCAGCTGGATAGTTACTCATTCAGATGTGAAATCATTGTACATTTGTTTAATCGAAAGACGCTTTCAATTTTGTTCAAAACAGTGTTCACTTCAATTAAAATTAATGGGATCCACTTGATTATCCCAAAGCAACAAAATGGACAGAAAAGACTATAACAGTTTTGGAAACTACTTCGTAATAAGTGCTGCAGGCGATCGGCAAAATACGTACTCTTATCACTTATCTTCACGCGCATTTCCAAATATGGTCATGCATGATGACGTCACACGCATAACAACGGGTTTATTTTGCAAAGTTATTTTTCTAGCTTGTTGCGCGCAGCATCAAAAACAGTTTTTCTGTAATAACTTTTTAAAATGAGAAGCCCCAATTTTCCTCCTGGGGAGGTAACGTTATTTTTACAAGACGAACATTTTGCAAAAAACCGGAAGTCTCTATCTTTTTTACTTCCGAAGTTAGGCCCCTAACGGTTAGGTTTCCTGGGGAATTGCATTTGCATTTTTGGATGCGCGGCGCGGCCCAGTACACAGCTAGTAACGCATCGCGATACAACATACCAGCGAGACGAAACTTTTGATGGTAAAATTTTAATATAAAATTTAAAGGAGCATTATTTTCAATATTTTTAATTTTAACACACGGGTCTTATCATGAGCGTGTGGTTAAGTTTTGAAATCTCCCCGTGGCCCCGTTATTGGCATCGCAGTGTTTACGTTGACGGACGTTACTCGTCTAAATTTCTCCGAAGTAGCGCGCGCTACTTTCTTTTCGAAATATTACATGGCCTGATGGCAAGTGCTACGAAGTAGCGCGCGCCGGGCTTGTAGCGCGATGCACTACTGGGTCGCGCGCGCATCAAATAATGCTTCTCGCAACCACTTCGGTAGATCGGCGAAATGCACCACTGTGCCTCACCGAGCTGCGAAGGATTGACATCGTGAATCAAGCGCCGGGCCAGTCCATTAATAATGGCCACGGTTTACAGCCAGTACTGCGCGATCAACGACCGGAATTATTCTGCTCCTGGAATTTTTGCTCTGTAGTAATTTTGTCATACGTTGTATGACCCGCCGCGCACGAAGTGCGCGGCTCCCCTGTATCGTCAGGGGGGTCGCAACGTGATACAATAGTAATTAATAAATTTGTAGCGCGATGCACTACTGGGTCGCGCGCGCATCAAATAATGCTTCTCGCAACCACTTCGGTAGATCGGCGAGATGCACCACTGTGCCTCACCGAGCTGCGAAGGATTGACATCGTGAATCAATTAATAAATGTGACATATAATTATAAAATAACAATTTAATTGTAAATAGACCCTGCGCGCGGCGTTTACAACCGCACCTAAAGATTTCTCAACAATGTGTGGCTGTGTGAGCGGCGGGCTGTGTATATATGGTTGCTCTAACCAGAGCCCTCTCGCTTGCAGTAGCGCGCGATCGCCGCGCCGTAGGCTGCAAAGGATATCTTCAACTTGTGAAACAAGCGCGTCACGCAGTACGCGTATACACATGGCTATGTAAATATATATGGTTGAATTTCGAATTTGAATTTATCTATGAATATAACATAATATGTATTGATTGTTTCGTGGTAAATACAAATTTTGTTTTTTTATTAATTAATTTCGTTTTTCTTATGTGAATTTTTTTAATTTATTAAAAAAATTTGGTCTTTCAAATATCAAATATAAGCGAAAATTATCAATTTTTCGTCCTTTTTACACACTTGCAATACACAGGAGGCCCTCATACGCCTTGAATTATAGTGCTGTACGGTGAATTTGTATTATTGGCGCTTATTACATTGACTGCAGGGGCTATTTCACAAGAAATAAACATGCATGCAGGTATGCGGATAGAACAACAGTGATTTCTCTCCGTGGAGACAGAGGTGCGAGAAAAAACATTGTTGATATAAACAGTCTAGATCTTAACTTGGAGCCACAAGGCTAAGGGTAATTTTTGATTGTTAAGGGAATTTTTTGAATTCTTAAAGGGTTGATTTTGTATAGGGTCATTGCTATATTATGTGTATATTGTTTGAATAATTTTATATATTATTATATTTGATAGGTCCCAATCTAATCGCACCCTAGCTACTACATGGCCAGAAGGAAATTATTTTAACTCTTTAAATATGTGAACAATGAGAGAACAGACGAGAGATAGTGGTTTACAGATTCTAGGCATTCAGAAGCACTGAAATCGAGTATAAGGATTCAGGATCTCGTGGTAGCTCTCGCCTCATCACAACTTCGGCATGAAGGCCCAGTGCCCAATATTGAGGCGTCTATCTAATTACATACATACATGCTACATGAAGAGGTCTCCTCCTAGTCGTTGGAGTGGCCTGCATCACACACATCTCTTCTACGGCGTAACATGTTCCTCCATTCCACTCGCTTTAGAGCCAACTGTTTTACTGCATCTCTGCTGATGTTATCGACACCTTTAAATTCAGCCGCATCCTCGAGTACACAGGCCATCCAGCCTTTGCGGGGTCGTCCTCTCAGTCTCTTTCCATAGTTTGGTTTCCAATCCAGTAAGAAACTGGGAAACCGCGTCTCTGGCATTCTGACAACATGTCCGTACCACCTTAGTCTAGCCGCACCAATGAAAGTTTCGATAGACTTAATTCCAGCACGCCTGAGAACTTCTTCATTGGAGACATGGAAGAACCACTTTATCTTCAAGATTCTTCTCAGGGAGGTCAGATGGAAGACCTCAAACCGTTTCATCTGCTTCTTTGTTGTGTTCCACACTTCAGCTCCATATAACATAATAGTAATAACAGCAGCCTTGTAGATACGGATCTTGGTGGGCGTTCTTATAGTTCAACTGTTCCATATTTTCCAAAGCTGATGGAACGCACCATTAGCACGCTGGATCCTGATGTCAAGATCTCGGTCAATGGTACCATCCCCACTGATGTTGGCACCAAGATAAACAAAGTTGCTGACCTGTTCAACAGGTTCTCCCTCCACTGTTAGCTTTATACTGTCTCTTTCGGTGTAAGGTCGCTGGGACGCACACTTGCTGATTGCCATGCATTGTGTCTTTTTAGCGTTGATCTTTAACCCAGCGTAAGAGGTGTAATAAGCTATAAGATCAGTGGACTCTTGCAGCCCTTCTTCAGTATTGTCCATCACTGCCAGATCATCAGCGTAGTCACTATCCATGATAACTTTTTCATCTGCACCCTTTAGTTCCTTTTGCAGTACAGCACCATCACTGATTGCCTTGTGAACCTCGGCCAAAAAGATTCCAAAGTTCAGACAAAAATTAAATACAGGAGGGCCCTGGATCACCCTGTCCACTGCCCGAGTTAACAGAGAACCAATCAATTTCACCATTAACCCTGACAGCACTCATGGTTCCGTTGAAGAATGCCTGAAAGATTCTAACATATTTCTCAGGAAGTCCATAGTGTCTTATGCTTGACCAAATAAACTCTCTTCTGATGGAATCAAACGCTGCCTTAAAATCAATGAAATTAACATAAAGTGGAATGTTAAACTCAATGCAGTTGTGAATAATGGTGCGGATGGAATAAATCTGATCAATCCATGAGCGGTTCCGTCTGAACCCACACTGATTTTCCCTAAGAAGACACTCCATTCCAACATCCAGCCTCTTAAGAAGAACCATTTGAAGAACCTTAGAAGACGTTGCCCTAAGAGTTATACCCCTATTATTGCAGCAGTATGAGGTGTCTCCCTTCTTTCCGATAACCACTATAACACCTTTAAGCCAATCCTCAGGGATCACCTCTTCCTCCCATACCTTTTTAAACAGTAGCTCTAGTTGGCCAACAAGAGCACTTCCACCATACTTAAGTTGTTCATTAGTTATCTCATCAACCCCTGCACTTTTGCAGTTCTTCAGTTTCTTTACAGCATAACTATTAACTAATCTCATCTCTAGAAGGAGGTCCATCAGAACAAGAAAGGTAGTCAAAATCTAATTGGCGGGTTGATATTGTAATTGTCTTGGACAAAAAGAATTATTCTCATTGATTTGTGTCTAACGCATGACAGGAAGACAATTTCACCTAACCATGTGCCAGGTGCCATCGTGTACTACGTGACGCTACTGTAAGGTCCCTGGTCAGAGCAAGAAGACGATGGTAGCCATGTGTCCAGAGAACTCAGTTATAACTATTATGGTGACCTACAGTAGAACAGAGGGCGCGACTGTTGATGAAAAATAAAACTATTATGACAGCCTTGGTGGAGCTATCGATTAGATACCAGCCCACAACCTACTATTTGTTGTAAGAGACTTAAATTCGCATGTCTTGTCATCACTCAGCAGAAAATCGAACATTGGACAGGGGTTTGGCTTCTTAAGGATATGCTATTGGAGCGACTGCTTGAAATCTCAAACACCATATTTTAGAAGCGAGGGGTAAACTCTTGACGTATCTATCCAATAAATAGTCATAGTCAATCGACTTCATCATTTGCAGGAATAAAAGGCGGAAATCTGTCAAGAAATCCGAAGCATATGGCAGCAGTGGCATAACAAAGGACCCCAGTGGTGTCACATTGCCTGTTGGCGCCCACGCTGTTTACTGGCATATCCTCTAAAATAACCTAATTTATTCAATTTTAGGTAGGGGTGCCAAAAGGGGAGGGCCCCAAAAGGGGAGGGGGGCGCCAATAGGAGAGCGCTTTTTCTGCGGGGGCGCCAACTGACTGAGTCGTCAGTCCCACCTGATCGATATCACTGTCCACACTGATTCTTGTACTCCTTCTTTGGCAATTTTAGGTAGGGGTGCCAAAAGGGGAGGGCCCCAAAAGGGGAGGGGGGCGCCAATAGGAGAGCGCTTTTTCTGCGGGGGCGCCAACTGACTGAGTCGTCAGTCCCACCTGATCGATATCACTGTCCACACTGATTCTTGTACTCCTTCTTTGGCAGAAGCCCTCATCTAGCTTGGAGATCAGGAACTCATTGGCGGTGGGAAAAAAGTTTTTTACTGGTTGATCAATAATCTCAATAAGTAATGTATGCATAATATATAAAGTAGTTGCACTGTTAAACCAAAATGGCTACTCAGGATCTAGTATATTAAAGATACGGATAACCATTAACCAAATACCATAATGAGTATGTTTTATGCTATTTGTTAATTTAATCAAAATTTTGTATTGTCTGGTAATTTAAAACACTGATCAACCAAGTTGCTAACATAGCATACTGTTGAAATACATCAAATTGTTATTATGAAGTAACAATTTTGTTAGTCAAAGTCCTGGTCCCAGCACTTTTTTTCCAGTCCTGGTCCTGTTCCCGGCTAAAAAAGCTGCCCGAGCCTTGTATAATGTATATGTGTAATGTGTATTAACTCTGTACTGATGGTCAGAAACCATTTTTACTTTTATCAGGAAAACATTGTGTTATGTGTCACACCTCATAAACATTAGCGTAATGATAGTGGCACATTCTAGTTAATTTAGGGCAAGAATAATTTGATAATAAATCGACAGAGTAACTTTTAAATCAGATATTCTCGTTAATTGTATGTATGATTTGTTTAAAGACCCAAGTAAAACACTTATTATTATTCAATGGTAGAAAAAAATGATTATGTGTGGTGCAACTGTAGCAAAATTCTATTTATGATGGTTTTGTTATAGAAAACAAATTTCAAGGAGTATGGGAAATTGCTGCTGTAAGGGGGCTAAGGAAGATATTTCCACCAAGGCTGTCGTTTACAGTGTCGATCCACCATCACAACCAGCACAAGGTAATGTTTGTCACAGGTATTTGGTTAATTTAACTGCTTAATTGTTTTTGGATATCAGGGAATACGTTTTCATGAACTAAAGCAACTAAAGGCGTACACTAAAAAAGGAGAGATAAATGAAATCAGGACAGATCAATATAATTCCCAACATTTTAAAAGTTTATCATAAAATGGCATTAATTATTTTCAGATGTGACTCCTCTGAATCCATATGTACATCAACCTCCTCCATCAGCATCTAAAGCTGTTCCCAATCACTACGTAGCACTGTACGACTATGAAACTGCAGTAGATTCGCTACCCTTCAGAAAAGTAAGATCATGATTCACGCACTACTCCACAGGTTTAATTGTATTGCTGGAATAGTTCTAAAATAAGATGGCTGGGTAATGCGCATCAATACTACTTATTACATTATAAAATTCAATTAATCCCGTATGTTCTATTGAAAATATTATCAATTCGATAATACACATCAAACAGTGACATATTATTTGTAACTTACCTCACCGAAGTTCTATCTACTATAATAATTATTAACCATTCAACAGTTCGATGAGTTCCAAATAATCGACTTCACGACAACTGACTGGTTCCTAGCCAGGAAGCTAACAGATAATACCGAGGGCTTTGTGCCTGCTTCTTACATAGCCGAATTCGGATCCCTTAAAACTTATCCGTGAGTTCAATTTGTTATAATTCATTGATGTGGCCCAGAAGTGAAGATATCGCCGATTAAGTGCTGGATCACGTATCTGCAAGATCTTAAAAGGGTAATAACTCGCTTAAATTACGAACAACCAACTTGAAATTTTGGGAAAGTACTTTTGTAAGCCGTGATTATTTGATCTATATTATTTGATAGATTTTAGATAGTATTGTGTAATAAGGCAAGTATTGTGTAATAAGGCAGTATTGTGTAATAAGGCAGTGGAAGTGGAACATCCAGTTCTAGTATGTGGTTAGGGAAAGTTAGAGAAAGAGAATACAATGGAGATTGTGGGTTGGACCTCACCTGGACGGACGAGAAACATGTCACTCTGGAGGAGAGACAATGGTTCTAGGAGAACTCAGACGTAAAGCCTTTGTGTAGATAGAGAGTCAAAGATAGATGTGAGTTCTAAACAAACTATGGATTCAGAGGTCATCAGACAGGAAGCTTTGGTAAAAAGATGAATAGTCGTAACACCTGGACTCGGGACAATGAAGCTTTAGTGGGAGATAAGACCAGCTGCCAAAGGTGTGAGCAGGGGCACGTGAGTCTGGTTAGAGAGGTCGGGTGAAAAACCACGGACAGGACATTATATAAGGTCCGGTGGAAAAGTCAGAAAGAGAGATAGAGTTTGCCCGATTCGAGGGCCATTCATGTAGGTTACTTTGGAGCCAGGACCTGTTACGTCAGGGTCCCGGAGAGAGCATTATCGTGGTCTGTAGTTAGTGAACTGTGCAGAGGACATGAGCAGTCTGGCTTAAGCGTAGAGAGAGTAGAGAGAATGAACTATAGTGGATTTGAGCCTGATATAAGGACGGTCAGCGAGGACTGAAAGTGTTATGTAAGTGTAGTTTAAGGGTAAGACTCCGTTAGAGACGGTTAACGATGGTTAACCGTGATAGGTAAAGGTAGAGTAAGGACAAAGGACGTGTGTTTTACAACTTAGATGTAGGGCGTCATAAGTCAGAGTAATTAGGATGTGTATTTTGTAGTAATTGGATTGTTAATCATTTTGTTTCTTACCCTTTTTTACCATCATTATTACTTTCGTTTTTGTTGTTCGTAACCTAAATTACTACAAATAATCTACGAATCTGAAGCAAGTGATGACTGCTTACAAATGGCGCGAACGGTAGGATCCTATTTTATTATAGGATAGATTGTTTGTAGTTTAATTAGGTAGAGGGGATATTACTCATTATTCAAGAGTGAATTGACTGGTGTGAGGAGTATAGTTACGTTATGTCGTAACAGTGTTGCCAGTCAGATTAGTGTCAGATTAGTTCAGTGCAAGAGCAGTAAATGAAGGTACGGTTAAGTGTGGAGTTTAAATGATATTTTTGGGTTTCTTTCATCATGGAGGGGAAGGGAGGTTAGATACCGGAGGGGCACAGGTTAGGAGGGGCTGAGGAGATATTTTGAGGAATAAATGTCAGTCCGTTGAGAGTTTATCGAGAGAGTGTTATGATTATTATCGAGGGGGGTACGTGAGCAGTTCATGGTTTACTGTTTCTTATTTTAAGTTTTAAGACGGCAGACTTGACATACTTTCAGCCACCAGAGCCTCAGTGGGAGTGGCTGCCTGCTGAATCGTTCTGTTGTGTGTCAGACTTGTTTTCTTTTTGTAGCGCTACGAATGTTTATATTATGGAAGATAGCGAGAGGGGGAGTTTGGAGAGGGGGAGTTTGGAGTGGGCGAGTGAGTTATTGGGGAGAGAGATGAAATTTATATAAATGAGACCCGGGTGATGCTAGCATTGGAAAGGGAGAGGGAGGTTATTCGGAGAGATGTAACGTCACTAGTGAATTTAAGCAGTGTATTGGTTTGAAAACGTGGTACATATTGAGTGCGTTTTATGTTTTGGGGGGTGCCAGGGTATGGTATTTTCTATGATGAAAGAAACTAGTTATAGTTATAGTACTGCTTTTTATGTGAAGAATGTGATGAATTAGTAGGTCGAATATTCGAATAGGATGATACGAAAGCAGTTTTGTAATTAAAGTCAAGATGTTACTGTGTGAGACACTGGTTTAATAATGAGAGTAAAAGCCGAGAAATACAGGGCTGAGAAATGTAACGGACAGGTGCGTATTGTATTGAGTGAGTGAAGTGCAGGATAGAAAGCTATGGTTGTATTGGTGGGCACTTGAAACATTTATATTAGTTGAAGTATAATATCGTGTTACGTCTGAGCCGTGTGTTTATTATGAAAGGGCACCTGGGGCTGAGCCATGATCTAAGTTTCATATAGAGTGGCTATCGTTAAATGTTCAGTTATAGTTTGCGAGTTTTATAAAGTATTCAGTTTCCTCTATTATACGAAGTAGCGGTTGCTCGGTCGTTTGCTTGTTTTGTTCGTTTTACATATGGATCCACTCGGAGACATGGTGGTGGCAATACTAGTAAAATTACTATTGGAGGTGGTGGTACTAGTGGTGACTAGTGGAATTACTATTGGAGGTGGTGGTACTAGTGGTGACTAGTGGAATTACTATTGGAGGTGGTGGTACAGTGGTGACTAGTGGAATTACTATTGGAGGTGGTGGTAATAGTGGTGACTAGTGGAATTACTATTGGAGGTGGTGGTACTAGTGGTGACTAGTGGAATTACTATTGGAGGTGGTGGTACTAGTGGTGACTAGTGGAATTACTATTGGAGGTGGTGGTACTAGTGGTGACTAGTGGAATTACTATTGGAGGTGGTGGTACTAGTGGTGACTAGTGAAATTACTATTGGAGCATGGTGAGATAGGAAAATAGTGGAATTACTATTAGAGCATGGTGAGAGAGGATAAATAGTGGAATTACTATTGGAGCATGGTGAGAGGTGATAAATAGGGGAATTACTATTGGAGCATGGTGAGAGGTGATGAATAGTGGAATTACTATTGGAGTATGGTGAGAGGTGACAATAGGGGAATTACTATTGGAGCATGGTGAGAGAGGATAAATAGTGGAATTACTATTGGAGCATGGTGACAGGTGACCATAGTGCGTGTAATTACTATTGGAGCATGGTGAGAGGTGATGAATAGTGGAATTACTATTGGAGTATGGCCTGGTGAGAGGTGACAATAGTGGAATTACTATTGGAGCATGACGAGAGGTGACAATAGTGGAATTACTATTGGAGCATGGTGAGAGGTGATGAATGGTGGAATTACTATTGGAGCATGGTGAGAGGGGATAAATAGTGGAATTACTATTGGAGCATGGTAAGAGCTGATAAATAGTGGAAATACTATTGGAACATGGTGATTGGTGACGGGTGAGAGTGGTATTAGAAATATACACATCGAGGCACTAGGAGATATTGCGGTGGCGATACTAGTGGTAATTATAAAGGTGCTGTTGGACCGTGGTGAGTACTGATATTGGAAGGAGACACGTAAATCAATTTGGAGATATTGGCATTGCAGTGGCAATACTAGTGGCAAATAGTGGAAATACTATTGGAACATGGCGAGTGGTGACAAAGCATTAACCATTATTCCAGGGTAAATCTAGAAGGAGAAACATTTGAAGGAGACACAAGGTGACATTGGATCGGAGGCATTGGATCGGAGACAGATTGGATGACATTGGATCGAAGACAGATTGGATGACAGATGGATTGGAGGTCGCATGGAAGCATGGATCGGAGACAGATTGGAGGACACATGGATTGGAGGTCACATAGAAGCATGAATCGGTGACTGATTGAATGACAGATGAATTGGAGGTCACGAAGAAGACACATGGAGACCTGTGAAGGAGACACGTGAGCACATTGGAAGAAGACACATGGAGACATTGGAAGAAGACACATGGAGACTTGTGAAAGAGACACGTGAGCACATTGAAAGAAGACACCTGGACACATTGGAAGAAGACACATGGCATTGGGAAGAGACATATGAAAACATTGGGAGGAAACACGTGGAGAGTCGGAGACCTGTGAAGAAGACACGTGAACATATTGGAAGAAGACACATGAAGACATTGGAAAAAGACACATGGAGACATTGGAAGGAGACACGTGAACACATTGGAAGAAGACACATGGAGAAATTGGAAGAAGACACATGGCATAGGAAAGAGACATATGAAAACATTGGGAGGAAACACGTGGAGACCTGTGAAGGAGACATGTGAATTGTGAACACATTGGAAGACACATACATAGACATTGGATGTAGACACATGGAGACATTGGGAAGAGACACGTGAAACATTAGAAGGAGACACGTGAAACATTAGAAGAAGACACATATATGGAAATCTGGAGGGAAGAACAGTACGATAATACAGGGGACTGTCCAAAATGTTGGAAAACGAGAAGAACGAAGACGGAGACCTGGTGGGAGAAGAAGAGAGAGATGGAGACAGATAATTAAGAGGAACACCAGTGGAACAAGAGAGATACACAGTTGAAGAAACAATGAAACGATGTTGGGAGGAGACCTGGAGACTTGGAGACTTACCAGGTTGTAAAAACATTCTAGTAGGAGCAGTTGAATCCAAAAGGTTTTACGGTATTTTTCCAACCTAAAAACGAAAAAATTTGATAGATGTGGAAGAGTATCGAATTTATAAAGTAAACTTAGACTGGATTGAATAACTATGGGGGATTATCATCCCCCAGGGGCGGTGGAGAAAAGCTGATCAATACATACCTGGAAATGAAGATAGGGAGCGAATCTAATCATCCGGAGAGGAGCTGCTCACCATATCATTTTGGATAGGAGGACTTGGAGTCGGAGTCGGAGCTGTCGGGGCAAAAGTACCCGACATAAAGTACAAAGAGTGGGGAAAAGTACCCGACATAAAGTACAAAGTGACACGAGGAGGAGGAGCAGGGGGATCGTCAGAAGAACTGATTTCGCCATGTTGTGCAGAGTCAGACATAATTAAGACGGAGTGAAGTAAGTCAAACATTATACTTATATAGACAATAGAACATAATATGAAGATGAACAGTGAATAGATGACCCGTCATGGTGTTCAAAAAGGAACAATTTTATTTGGTTCTGGGACAGAGTAATGAGTTTGGTAGAGTAAGAATTTTGAAAAGTGAGTTGAAGATAGTCTTGGAACGATAGTCTGTAGTACGAGATTTTCTATAAAGTTATTATATGCACTATCATAGTAAAGTTCTAAAAAAGCTCAGATTTTGTAAAGTTGTGTATGCCGTGAATATTTAGTGATTAGGAGCAAGCATGGAATAGAGTCTGTAGTACGAGATGTTCTATTAAATTATTATACTACATATTATAGTAAAGTTCTAAAAAAGATCATATTTTGTAAAGTTGTGTAAGCCGTGATTATTTGATCTATATTATTTGATAGATTTTAGATAGTATTGTGTAATAAGGCAAGTATTGTGTAATAAGGCAGTATTGTGTAATAAGGCAGTGGAAGTGGAACATCCAGTTCTAGTATGTGGTTAGGGAAAGTTAGAGAAAGAGAATACAATGGAGATTGTGGGTTGGACCTCACCTGGACGGACGAGAAACATGTCACTCTGGAGGAGAGACAATGGTTCTAGGAGAACTCAGACGTAAAGCCTTTGTGTAGATAGAGAGTCAAAGATAGATGTGAGTTCTAAACAAACTATGGATTCAGAGGTCATCAGACAGGAAGCTTTGGTAAAAAGATGAATAGTCGTAACACCTGGACTCGGGACAATGAAGCTTTAGTGGGAGATAAGACCAGCTGCCAAAGGTGTGAGCAGGGGCACGTGAGTCTGGTTAGAGAGGTCGGGTGAAAAACCACGGACAGGACATTATATAAGGTCCGGTGGAAAAGTCAGAAAGAGAGATAGAGTTTGCCCGATTCGAGGGCCATTCATGTAGGTTACTTTGGAGCCAGGACCTGTTACGTCAGGGTCCCGGAGAGAGCATTATCGTGGTCTGTAGTTAGTGAACTGTGCAGAGGACATGAGCAGTCTGGCTTAAGCGTAGAGAGAGTAGAGAGAATGAACTATAGTGGATTTGAGCCTGATATAAGGACGGTCAGCGAGGACTGAAAGTGTTATGTAAGTGTAGTTTAAGGGTAAGACTCCGTTAGAGACGGTTAACGATGGTTAACCGTGATAGGTAAAGGTAGAGTAAGGACAAAGGACGTGTGTTTTACAACTTAGATGTAGGGCGTCATAAGTCAGAGTAATTAGGATGTGTATTTTGTAGTAATTGGATTGTTAATCATTTTGTTTCTTACCCTTTTTTACCATCATTATTACTTTCGTTTTTGTTGTTCGTAACCTAAATTACTACAAATAATCTACGAATCTGAAGCAAGTGATGACTGCTTACACTTTAATTACCAAACAAAATTTCTCTAGAAACTTTGAAGTTCCTACCTGAAAGCGTTCTCACTTTTATGGTGCAAATAGTGAAAAAAAGGGAGTGGCGTGCCACACCCACTATAATTAATCAAATTTGACGAAACTTTCAGGAAATCTAAGTTTGACCCATATCTATATGCTATAATCTCTGAAATTTCTGTGCAATTCTAAGAAGAATTACGTGAGTTATTAAAGCGTTGCGTGTGGGCAGTTACTTCTGGGCCACCCTGTATAATATATATATAGATATTATCTCCTGTAACAATTAAAATATTATCATTATGCCTAGTGCATACATAATTTGACTTGTACAAATTACATGACTGGAGTACTAGTCAGTACTAAAATGTGTATCTTTGTTAAGTGATGAGTTTTGGTTATGCATACAAAAAAGATAAGACATGACCCAGAATAGTGAACCCTTTCATCCAGGGACAAAAGGAAATCGCGGCATGTACGGAATCGCGATTTTTCCCATTATTTGCGACAAATTTTATGTATAGTTTAATATACCGCGAAATTTAATTCGCGGTATCGCGAATTTTGGCCAAAATAACCGCGAAATCCTTTTGTCCCTGAGGCATCATGTAGCCGGTGGGCCCGACATGATACGACATATCTTGACACGTCGGGGTTTGTCGGGATTTGTCAGGGTTTGTCGGGGTTTGTCGGGGTTTGTCAGGGTTTGACGGGGTTTCCGGTTTGTCGAGCCTGGAGGCTTTTTTTTTTTTTTTTTTTTTTTTTTTTTTTTTTTTTGAGTCTCCTAACAAAAAGCCGAGACGGAGTCATCAAGCTTAACGTGGAAAAACACTACACAAGAAGGCCTCATGTAGCCGGTGGGCCCGAGGCAAAACCCCTCGACAAACCCCGACAAACCGCGTTTGTCGGGGTTTGTCGGGATATGTCGGGGTTTGTCGGGGTTTGTCGGGGTTTGTCGGGGTTTGTCGGGGTTTGTCGAGCCTGGAGGCTACATAATGCCTTCCCTGCTTTCATCCCATATTTAAACCCCATGCTCTAATCAATCATGTTTGCTTGCTAATCAAAGCTCACAGCAATATTATATGCATGCAAATAATACATTTTATAAGATCTCCCCTTATATACCTGGACATTGTAAAAAAAATTGGTGAAAAATATGGGCGTGGCCGGAGGACCACTAAGATGGTCGAGCTGGAACTTGAAATTTTCGTTGGTGGTTATTGAACCTAAGGATCAACAGATAAGAACATACTGGAAGATCATATTCAATAACATTTTGTTTTTATGAACCTACCTACTGGACAAGCATCAATATTACAGGTTTTAGATTCCTCAGCTTTTCCAACACAACCAGTTCCTCCGTTTGATGGAGCAGGATTATTGCAGGTTCTATTCCGGGTCTGGGTTCCTCCACCACAGCTCGCTGTACAGACCGTCCAGTCTCCATACACAGTCCAACCACCGTCAACTGAATTCATCAGACTTCAGACATGTTTATTGTTTAATGTTGATCAAAGATGGAACAATACCATCACTTAAATAACCCATAAATACAAGTAGATAAAGCTATAAAGTATCATATAAAAGCTGCTTACCTGTTTTGCCAACAAGTCTGTACTTAACATCAACGTAAGTGGTGGGCAATGGCTTGTCATGCCGTAGACTAACCAACACTAAGTTCACACCATAACGTTTAATATTGTTCAAAAACTTCACCAAAGTTCCTGTACCACACTTGGATAAGTCAGCATCTGTAACATTGTTGACTTTTGCTAGGGTATTCGAGTACAAATCCCAAGTGATGGTAGCGAATTGGTTATTGAGGGTGTTTTCATCAAAACAGATTATTTGGAGGTTGTTTGTCATCATGTCTAGCATAAGGGACGATTGCGTGATTTTGCTTCCGGATACAAAGTACTCCATTGAGACAGCAGCTTTTTGAATATGGTTTTTGTAGAGTAGCACATCTAAAGTGAAGAATAATCCAGCAAGTAAGTCTGCCTTTTTAGCGAATTTAACTTCTACTACAGTTGTTGCAGGATTAAAAGTGGTTGGATTGAAGTTAGAGGGAGGTCCTTTCTTGTTTTGGTAGATTTCGTCAGGGTTCAACCAATCTGTGATGTTTTGGCTACGTTGCTTTATCTAATTTATTTTGACAATAATTAAAAGCATCAAGCATCAAGATAGAGGAATATAGTTTAGGTGGAATTTTGTTAAGAATAAAATGTATAGTACCTTGAGCGATGGTAAATTTATAGACAAAAAGCAGCACAATCAAAAACAACAATTTTACCATGGCCAAATTTCAGTAATAGCGGGGGAAAGTGAGGTAACGATAAAATTTGAAACTATAAACTATTATATAAACTCTCTTTCCCTCACTGCAGTCTTTAGAGCTGTAAATTTAATTAAATCAATTAATAAATTTTATAACAACCCATTGTAAATTCTTTACGAACCTAGAGTGTAAATGACAAGTTCGAAGGACACAAAAGATATTGACACCTTCTGGTGTTGTTCATCGCTGCGTAATTTAATCATGGTCTAATTTCCTGGCTGTTTAATCCTTTGTGGCTTTAAACAGAGGTTTCTTGATTTCGCTGGCCTTTGTTCAAGATCACGGTCCTAATCATAAAGTGTATACTAGATTCTAGAATCTAGATGTTTTATATATTCTGTGATTTGTTTTCGAGATCATCTCATGATTTATTAAGTTGTTATTTTTGGATCAAGAAAACAAAAGCTAACGTAAATCTTCAAAACATAAAATATTATCGATTAGTTTAAGGGATATCAGTGACGAGATCATCGTCACAGCGACCGCAACTCTTCCGACAGTAAATGGTGGCGATGTCTTCTTCCAAGCAGAGGGAAGGTGTTCCCGCGCAGTAATCCCACTTATCCTCACATGAATTTGGTGTAGGAGCTGGAGTAGGAGCCGGAGTGGGGACCGGAGTGGGGGCCGGAGTGGGGGCTGGTGTTGTCGGTTCTGGGGTAGGTTCTGGTGTCGGTGGGGAGTCGGGACATTCCGGAACATTTTCTGGCCAGTCACAAACTTGCTCACTTTCGTTGAACCACAACCCATCCTGAAATTGTTACTTATAAATAAGCTACTTGGTAAGTGCTAAATAATTTAAACGGATAGTAAAATAATTCCGATGCACGATGTGATAAGTTACAATTAAGAAAATGTTGTTTCGGGAATTGGGACTAACCGGGCATGGCATGTGGAACTTTCTGCCTCTGTAGCATCTGTAATACATGTTACAGTTATATCTGTCCAGATACCTTCCCTCTCCAGGACATTCAAACTCTCGTGCAGGGGTGGTTGGCTCCGGGGTGGTTGGCTCCGGGGTGGTTGGTTCTGGAGTGGTTGGTTCTGGAGTGGTTGGTTCTGGAGTGGTTGGTTCTGGAGTGGTTGGTTCTGGAGTGGTTGGTTCAGGGGTGGTTGGTTCTGGAGTTGTTGGTTCAGGAGTGGTTGGTTCAGGAGTGGTTGGTTGAGGTGTAGGTTTTGGTGTTGGGGGAGATTCAGGACACTCAGGAACATTTTCGGGCCAATCACAAACTTGCTCACTTTCGTTGAACCACAGTCCGTCCTGAAATATCTCAAATTATGAACAAGTCATTCGCTCGAAAGTGGACTGTAAATACCAGTAATATACCACAATTTTAAAGTCTTAAAGATAATAACCATGAAGCTTCATGGAACTTACCGGGCAGGGCATATGGAATACTCTACCGGCATAACATCTGTAATACATATTACAGTTCTCTACATCAAGATACCTTCCCTCTCCAGGACAGTCGAAACTTGTCCCCAGCTGGACCAGCGCTAGAATCAGCAAAACAATCTGGGGGATATATCTGTGAAATAATAACCCAACTAAATTAAGTTGGAATTACAACTGTTTGTATAAATTTTAAAACTAATGCTCCTTGCGGTAAAAGAAAACATATAACCTCACAGAAAAAGTACTTACCATAGTCAAGATTTCGATGCTGAATGTGGCGAATCTTCGAAAATGAGAGCCTCCTTGGATCTTCAGAGGATAAAAGATTAAATTTAAACTGACGTGTACCGACTGCTGTCTCTGATAAACAGCTATAACTCAATTTGACTTGCTAACACGTCTCCTGCGCATCTGGTCAACCGTTAAAACGAGATTATCTGATTAACCAAATGGTTATACTTTACGGCACTACTACCTATTGTTTCTAAGCCGGTTTCTCATGTAGATAGACACGCCCATCTAATTATGAATGATAAAGAATTCTACCGACGACATCGGGCCTTTGAAAAGTTCTTGGGCGTAATAAAATTTACGAGCTTTTGGTTAGAAAAAAGTAAAATGTTAATCTTCAGTTATTTAATTTAAATTCAATCATAAGCTGATGTCACCACATTGCTTCACTAGTGGCAAATATTGCAAGTTTTCTTGCAGTGCTTTGTCTTCTTTTTGTGGGTACACATAAACTTTGATCTACCGGCACACACAGTCGGCCATTCATCAACGCACTGAAACAATTTAGAAAATTACTCGGTTTTCACAGAATTGAGATTTGAAAAAATAGCCAAGCTGAAATCGTCGTGCATTATAATTTATATAATAATTTTTTAACTGAAACATAATGACGTATGATGACGATTTCAATCCGGAGAATCGGCCCGAACAGCTATGCAAATTTTGTTACTTTTATTTACCAACCTTGACCTCCATGTCGCTTGTAGGTTTGGGAGAAGAAGTTGGTTCTGGAGTGATGGGTTCTGGAGTGGTTGGTTCCGGGGTTATTGGTTCTGGAGTGGTTGGTTCAGGGGTGGTTGGTTCTGGAGTGGTTGGTTCAGGAGTGGTTGGTTCTGGAGTGGTTGGTTCAGGGGTGGTTGATTCTGTAGTGGTTGGTTCTGGAGTGGTTGGTTCTGGAGTGATTGGTTCTGGAGTGGTTGGTTCTGGAGTGGTTGGTTCAGGGGTAATTGGTTCTGGAGTGGTTGGTTCCGGGGTGGTTGGTTCCGGGGTGGTTGGTTCTGGAGTGGTTGGTTCTGGAGTGGTTGGTTCAGGGGTGGTTGGTTCTGGAGTGGTTGGTTCAGGGGTGATTGGTTCTGGAGTGGTTGGTTCAGGGGTGGTTGGTTCTGGAGTGGTTGGTTCTGGAGTGGTTGGTTCTGGAGTGGTTGGTTCAGGGGTGGTTGGTTTTGGAGTGGTTGGTTCAGGGGTGATTGGTTCTGGAGTGGTTGGTTCAGGGGTGGTTGGTTCTGGAGTGGTTGGTTCCGGGGTGGTTGGCTCCGGGGTGGTTGGTTCTGGAGTGGTTGGTTCTGGAGTGGTTGGTTCAGGGGTGGTCGGTTCTAAAGTGGTTGGCTCCGGGGTGGTTGGTTCCGGGGTGGTTGGTTTTGGAGTGGTTGGTTCTGGAGTGATTGGTTCTGGAGTGGTTGGTTCTGGAGTGGTTGGTTCTGGAGTGGTTGGTTCCGGGGTGGTTGGTTCTGGAGTGGTTCGTTCCGGGGTGGTTGGTTCTGGAGTAGTTGGTTCTGGAGTGGTTGGTTCTGGAGTGGTTGGTTCCGGGGTGGTTGGTTCTGGAGTGGTTGGTTCAGGGGTGATTGGTTCTGGAGTGGTTGGTTCAGGGGTGGTTGGTTCTGGAGTGGTTGGTTCCGGGGTGGTTGGCTCCGGGGTGGTTGGTTCTGGAGTGATTGGTTCTGGAGTGGTTGGTTCTGGAGTGGTTGGTTCTGGAGTGGTCGGTTCAGGGGTGGTTGGTTCTGGAGTGGTTGGCTCCGGGGTGGTTGGTTCTGGGGTGGTTGGTTCTGGGGTGGTTGGTTCTGGAGTGATTGGTTCTGGGGTGGTTGGCTCTGGAGTGGTTGGTTCAGGGGTAGGTTTTGGAGTGGGTGCAGGGGTAGGTTCGGGTGTTGGTAAACATTCTGGCACATTCGAAGGCCAGTCACAATATCCTGTTCTTTCGTTAAACCATGTTCCTTCCTGTGATTACAAAAGTCATATTATGACTTTGCAAAGATAACACCGGTTTCATTTTCAATCCGGTAGGAATTAAGAAATCCACTATAATAATTAGGTTTGTAATTGATTTTGATTACTCGGGAAAAGGCTACCCACCGCGCAAGACATGTCGAAGATACCATTCTGATTGCAGACCCAATATCTTGTACAATCCTCGTGGTTCCGGAATGTGCCTAAGTCGGGACATTCGAACCCGGATGTTATGTGGCACAGTGGTAGGAGTAACAGGAGTATCTGTGGAGAAACATAGGGCTGATTAATGAGCACTGAGAAATTCAGAAATACAGGATTGATTAATTTGCACTACAAAACATTGCAAATTTGCTGACATTGTTCAGCTATATCACCATACACATTTTAAAAATTCAGATTTTTTAATACATTAGTTTGGTTATATTAACATAAAAATGTATTTGACGTCACAATTCAAAATAAGGCTGCAATAAAAAGCCATTTACCATCATGATAGCGTTTATTAAGAAGTTTGTCTGAAAAAGCTAACGATTGAATTTACTACAACCAAAAAATTGAAGATTTCTGCAATAGACCTGGTGAATAGAAGTCTTTTAAAATTTGAACAAAGCCAGACAGACTATGAACACTTTTAATTTAATTTGGCTTGTTAATGGGTTATAACCTTGACCTTCTGGTGCACTGTTCAGGATGATTATTTGATTAAAACCTCAAATAAACGTGCTATTTTACTGTACATGAAATTTAACGGAGTTACATAAGATATGGAAGTTACCTTGCTTGGTAATTTTGTGGCGTACTTTTTAATGCGGCCCGTCGAAATCACTTTAATGGTAAACCAATATTTTCTGGCGTAAAGTATTTCTCTCTGATTATCTAAGAAGAATATATAATTTTTTGTGACTTATTTAATTTACTATGAGCTCAGAATATATCCATTTCTGATGTTTTGCTTTTAACCCATAAAATATAACAAACGTAATATTGTACATATTATAGCGAACAGTATTTTTGGTGATTCAGTAGTCATGGACGCAGGACTTTAAGATCAATCTACAATTTATAAATTTGATTTTGATTAGAAAAGGGACTACTAAGCTATATTTATCTGCACCGCTTTGTTGGCCAGTATCAACCCCATTTTTGGGAATTTGGTCGCTTATACGGCCTAAGCGGTATACAAATAAAGCGTTATTATTATTATCATTACGAATAATAGATAATGTTTCCTAATATCAATCCCTTCCTTCATTTCAGATGGTATTTCGAAGTGTTGAGCAGGAAAGATGCGGGTGTGATGTTGAACAAGAGTGTTGACGGTTCTTATCTGGTCAGACCCAGTGAGACTAAGCCCGGTTGTTTCTCGCTGTCTGTTAAGGTAATTAAGTGTTCTGCTTGTTGTTTCAGTAAAATGAAGGCGATGAACAAATTTTAATGCTTCGGAAAAAAAAACATTGTCGTATTTTTCCAGCACCGAAACCGAAATAACGAAATTGGGCACTTTTGAGAATGCAATGCAAGGTTTCAATAGAAACTAGAAAGCCTTCTTGCCAAAGCTACGTAGATTTTGTTCAATAATAAAAGTGTCTGAATGTGATTTAAAAGAACAGTTATTCTTGCGAAGGTTCCTGAGATGTCGAAGCAAACAGATGATCCGAACAAGAAGCCTAACAGCATCAAACATTACATCATCCGACACAGTAAAGAGAATAACACTTTCTTCATCCGACAACAAATGCCGTTTAAGTCTATTGCTGAGCTCCTGGAGTTTTTTAAAAGCAATAAAGGTATGATCTTCTTATCTTCTTATCTTCTTATCTTCTTATCTTCTTATCTTCTTATCTTCTTATCTTCTTATCTTCTTATCTTCTTATCTTCTTATCTTCTTATCTTCTTATCTTCTTATCTTCTTATCTTCTTATCTTCTTATCTTCTTATCTTCTTATCTTCTTATCTTCTTATCTTCTTATCTTCTTATCTTCTTATCTTCTTATCTTCTTATCTTCTTATCTTCTTATCTTCTTCCATTAAACTGTTGGAGCTTTTCTCATCTGTCAGCAAGCTCAAATTATATTATATATTTTCTACTGTGCACGATTACCGTAAAAGGTACGTATATCGTAACTTTTTATCCCTTAATGTGTTAGTTGCTTCCTGGTGGCTGATTATTATTTTTCCAGATCAGCTTGGATATCAACTAACCGAGGCTGCTAAGCCTCTCTCATCGCTCCCTGACCTGGTTGTCAAAACCTGGGAGATTGATCCTAAAGATATACAACTCGGAGCTGAACTTGGTCAGCAACTTTTATTTGAATTTCTCTGTCTTTTAACAGAAATGCTTGGCCGGATATTTTTGAGTTAAATGTTTTTAATACTGCCGAGATTACTCATGGATAAATGGTTGCTATTAAAAAGTTAAAACAGGGTTTGTATAAAGCTTACTTTAACATTTGACAAAATAAGTTAAAATAAGATAAAATAAGTTAAATTGTTTCTCAGGTCACGGAGCCTTCGGTATGGTATACAGAGGAACCCTCAAGGGACAAACCCAAGTTGCTATCAAGACCTTCAAACCTGGTACCATGGACACAGAGGCATTCCTTGAGGAGGCTGATCTGATGAAGAAGTTGAGACATAAGAACATCCTGAGTTTGTTGGCTATTCAGACCAAGGCGGAACCCATTATGATCAGTTAGTTTCCAGTTTTAATTTCCATAAGATAAACTCACATTTTAAAAACTCAAGGTCGCGTATTCAAAGAATAGTTCAGAATTCCCTGAACTAGCTTAAATTCATCCATTTCAGTTACTGAGTTGATGGGAAACGGGGCCCTGCTGGATTACGTGAGGAAACCTGCTACTAAACAAATTTTGAAGGTTAAGGATCAAATTGATATGGCTGCTCAGTGTGCGGATGGAATGGCTTACCTTGAAATATCTGTAAGTACTGTTAGCGAATTGTTGCACGGCATAAAACCTCGAACTATTGACTTGTTGTTGTGGTCATAAATGTTTCCAGTGAGATTGAGTTGAAATAATTAAATCTGAAATCACTTCAGAGAGTCAGTCAGGGTTGAAATATTCAAATCACAAATCCCCCTCAGGGTTTTATCCACAGAGATCTAGCGGCTCGTAACGTCCTGGTAAACGAATCTAGACAGTGTAAGATCGCTGATTTTGGTCTGAGTAAGCTTGACGAGGAGTACACTGCTAGTAATACCACTAGATTCCCTGTCAAATGGACAGCTCCAGAGGCTGCTCTCTACGGAAAGTGAGCTGATAACTCTTAAGCTGATTTTTATTTTTACCTGCACAAAGTACAAGTTTCGTGGAAAACCTCCTGTTCTTTCAGCTTTTTATTTGCTAAAATTAACGTTATGAACCCGCTGCCAATAATTTTAATAATGTTAAATCTTTTACTTCCCCATTTATATGACTGCATAATGCATATATTATATGTTATAAGTGTATAAATAGAAAATGTAAATAGTTGTAATTTATTTGACGGAATGATACACTTTTATATTATATGCGATGAGCCCATTGGAATTCCTATCATGAATGATCACCAGCCCCGGTACAATTCAAACTTTGAGTAAATCTCAATGAGTATGTGTATCATGTACCAAGTGTGCAACTATGTATCAAGTGTGCAACTATCGCAAGGAACAGCTTTTATCTTAAATAAATACATCCATATTAAGTACTTCCAATATATAAGAGCTACAGCATAATGTAGGATCAAAATATGCAAGCAATAGCAGCTTGATGTGCGCTCTGGTCCATGATCTGTATATTGTGGGTTTGAAAGAGAGTCCCTATGTTGAGACTGATTGGAACTCTATAATTTATGATGTTTTGCTAACACAGTTTATTAATCAGCTACAGTATTAAGTCCGACGTGTGGTCATTTGGAGTGCTGCTTTACGAGATAATAACCTTTGGAAGAGTCCCCTACCCCGGCAAAAACAACAAAGAGGTCGGATACATTTTCATAATGTGAACCATTCTGTAATTAGTTTTGGGAGAAAAACGTGTCAAACAGATATTGGTTATTATATGTATATTTGTGATTTATATTAACTATTATTACCTCTGCACAACATTTGATATCCGTTGTGTTTTACTCTCACTTGACCAGGTACTTGACATGTTAGAAACAGAGGCTCGGATGGAGAAGCCCAACAATTGTCCAGATGCATATTACGGTCTGATGATGACGTGTCACAAGCAGGACCCTAATGATAGGCCCACTTTCGAGACACTCAAGTTCCAGCTCGAGGACTACTTCTTCGGTACAACGGACAGGGAATATCAATGTGAGTAGGCCAGTTAAATTATCATACCTTTATTTTAAGAAACACGATATGTTGATAATATCTCTGCACCGCCAATCATGGTATGGGGCCGAAGATCAGGGCCCGAAAATTTTTTAATTTTTTATATCGAAGAAATGAATGTTATGGCCCTCCTGATTGTCGTCCTTACTAATATTATTTATTTATAATATTAATTATGCTATCTTCTTACTTACAGGAACCATTTTCAGAAGGATTAGAGAAGTGTAAATAGATTACAATGGCGATAAATAAAGCATGGCCAAACCGCAATTCAGAAAGTTACGTTTGAGTTTTCTGCGGTATTCGCAGAATCATCGATTCAAACTCGATATTTTGAAGTGTTTTTTTACGCAGATAGAGTTTTGTGACAGAATTTGAGAATTTCAGTTCATCTTGAATACAAGTTTTGAACTGTCGGCAAGATACTGACGAGTGGCGACTTGTGTTAGTCTACGAGTTGTGGAATTTATAGAAATTCAGTTTGTTTTGTGTGTCAAAATGTTTGTGACGAAATTAAAAATGTCCGTTCAATTCAAGATATTATGTAACAAAGTTGTCATTTACATTCAAACATTCATTACAGCTTCGTTTTGATTTCATAAAGTATTAGTTTTTAACTTTTTGAAAAAAGGTTCATCATATTTTATAACCATAGTTTTCTAAATAAGAATATTTTGATTGTGTTGACCGATTTTACAGCATGTAATTTGCATTTTACCTTGTCGATTATACCTGTTTTATTTGCAAAGTGGTATCTCAGCAAATTTTAACACAATTTCAAGATTTAATTAAATCTTTGATTGATTAGTTTTAGTTGATGTTGGTTTTTAATTTTACTTACTTACAGAATTGCTATTTTCTTTCTACAAAAATACCGCATTTTTCTTATTTTTCTAGCCAGGGCTAATAAGCAGTAAGCACTAGTCAGCCCATTACCAATACAATACAATGAATTAAGTGTGAAACTCACATAGAATACACAGAGTCACAGTGTGCACTGACACTGGAGTATGTAAAGTCAGTAGGAAGATAGTGAAACTTAATGTTGAGTAGATTTCGTAGGAAGAACAACTAGCACTAGATGTATGTTAGTGTTCGCGACTAACCAAGAGGTCATAGACAGATCATGTACTCCACACAAGTTGGTTCTTTGGTTGATTCACGATGTCAATCCTTCGCATCTCGCTGATCTGCATCTGTGGTTGCGAGAAGATGCGCGGCACGGCCCATTAGTGCATTGCGCTACAAGTGAGTTGGTCATGTGTCATGTTTACATACGTGATACGTATTACTATCTTACTATCCTCGTTGAAATTAGAATTTGTAAATAATGCAGTTTGTCGTCAAAAGCAAAAGCTGGTGAATATGTAATGTGTTATTATATATTAGAGCTATTTTTTTTCCCGATCCATGACTCCTGTGCCGAAGGCACAAAAGGACAAGGGTTAGCGAACGAGGGTTTTTTTTGTTGTATATGGTTGCTTGCGACCGCCGTGCCTGCGTACGTACGTGCCCGCACGCCAGTATGTCGCCCGGCCACGTTCTCAACTAGACTGCGCAAAGTTATTTTGCGCGATATCCTGAATTAAATAATTGTTGGCCCTGTACTGACCAAGTAAATTGTTAATTTCACCATGTCATGTAATGTACGTATCCCACTAGGCACTAATTGATAGCATATTATTATTATTTCGAGTTAGTATTATTATTACTATTTTGCACAGATCCGTGTCAGGTTGCATAAACAATAAACATATGGTTAAATAGAAATATACACGATTTTCAAATTCAATATGGAGTTAACAGGGCGGCGCTCGGCCTGTAACTCTGCCATATCTGCATGCTTATAAACAGTAAAGACTGGAGTCCCCAGGTTGTATGGAATATGATAAAATACGCCATCACGGATCGGGAAATAGAGCGGCCATCCACAAAAAAATCGACCGCATTTCTTGTTAAAATAAAAAGGGATGACCCTAATATGACCAACAGCAAGTAAGCCAAAGTGGCTATTCGTGAAAAAGTGCATAAACTACCTGCTGAAGGGATCATTTCGTCCGTAAAATTGTATATGTAAAATTGTATATGTATTTATTAGGGCTATTTTGAGGGCGAGTGTATAATCACTGTTTACATGCAACACATTTTAGCCGGTTTATCGAGTGTAAACGTAAACAAACTACTCGTACGAACAGCTACGCCTTGCTATGTACTGCATTTTTAACATGATTTAAGTGCTCATTTTTTAGACTCTCTCTCATCTCTGTAATCTGAGTCTAATAAATCAGAAGTCAGAATTCCGCATTATCAGATTTCCATGAATTATCAAACTTCTCTAATAACTTCTATATATATATGAGGTGAACATCATTATAACAAACGAGGTTAAGGGTGGCCCACCGCCCAGTTATTTCACACTTCTATTACACATATTGGCATTTCTCCAGACTCCTCATGCAGTAATAAGAGCTTCGTAAATACTACATTCATCAGCAATAACGGCGCTCTGTACAGAAAATCAAAATACAGAACTATGAGAACTTTCGTTTCATATTATATTTGTAAATGGTAATTATATTAACAAAGTTTGGGCCAGTCACAGTAAACTTTATTAGTCTTTGTAACGCGCAATGATTTGTTAACGTATCAACATGACACGCGCATTGTTTACTATAGCGTAAATTTACTTCCTAAATAACAGAGCGCGCAATGAATTATGAATTGTATCCAATCACATTTACAGATTTAGTCTGCAGAAATTTTTGCTGACAGTGGAGGAGGAAAGTTATATTTTGAGCTAGGGCTTCAAAGTCAGAAAATACATCATTACTGCAGGAATGGGTAAAATTTCGTTCCGTTCGGCAGGTAAATCTGCCTTGGCACTAATCTTTTTGCAGTGGAGTGCCAATTGCCATACGTATTGCAATGTATTGGTCATTACTGATAATGACAATACCAACAATGTTAACCAATAATTTTTATTGAACCATTATTCTGCTTCCGGACCAGGCCACCGATTTACAAAATTCAAGAATTGGTGTTTAAAGAGAAAATTCTGAACTTTTCTCAGACGGTAGAAACTATGGTACTTTCATTTTTTAACCAGTTATCCTTCGCATTCCTAATTTCATGTCAGACAGCCGCTGAGCCGATGAACACAACGTACGTACACTTTGGGCCCTACTTTCGCGTTGGTTATTAACAATTACGAAGCAAAATTACTTTCTCTTGAAAATGATTGTATGTGAAATTGGAATTATAAATGGGATAAATCGTAAGGATGAAGATTAGCCAAATTCTCAATTTTCAAATCAAAAACAACATATATTATATATTTGTCACGTCATTTGAAAAACTATAAAGTACTTTCACTTCATCTTGATATTTTGTGTTATCGCAAAAAAGAAAAGAGCGCTATTTATGAGCAATTTTATGAAAAAATAACAACGATTATTATTATAATCAACACTCATCCGTCCTTTAACGGACGACCGTAATATAATCCTGCTTCGAACTCACAAATATAGCATCTACTATAATGAGTCTATAAACAAATTCAGAGAGGACGTCTAGTAGATTGGCCGAGATATTATCATCATCATCATCACAGGTATCTAGACATCAACTAACTTTTTGACTATTACAACAATACAAAATCAAAATAAAAAGGTTTATATATCATTGTTTTTTGCTAAATCCCAAGCACAACACTTACCGATAAATCACAATTTCACTATTCAGCAATTTCACTATTCAGCAATTTCACTATTCAACAATTTTACCGTTCAGCAATTTCACTATTCAGTAGCTATTCACAGTGCAATTTAAGCAAAAAAACTAAACATCATTAGTCCACCGGAACAACTAACTCCAAATTTACAAAGTTTAACTTTAGCACAGAACTTTTCTAATAAAGAATGTAAGTTAGACTACGAACAGACTAGAAGGTTGGAATGTGACGACCAGTGTTTTGATTTTACAACGACATCTCACTCCCTGGTCAGATGGTACAGCATTAACAGCAATAATTTGTATTATTATCACACTGAACTGATAACGATCCCGATTGACCGTTCAAAAGTACACAGTGACTCAGGGAGTTTGGTGGAATCTTAATACTAAACACTGATTATGTCACTTCCCTGAACGAGACTAAATTGACTAATTAAACCTAATCCCTTATGTTTGGGACGCTGCAGATGATTCTCTCAAACAATTATAATTAATTATAATTAGTCTTACAGAGTTTGAAAAAAGGGACGATATAAACAGGATGTCCGACGTAGAGATATATTAAAGTTTAACAAAGTTGACATGCGACAGTTTCAGGTAGGGCACGATCCGGAGTTGAAGGAACTGTGAGGAGATCACACCAGGATCACGTGACAATTATGAGATCACGTGATAATGAGATCACGTGATAATGAGATCACGTGATAACGTAGGCGACAATCTATTCATTTTCCAGATCGGTGTGTAAAAACGTACAAAACTTTGACCCTGAAACAAAAGTAATGATAGTAATTAAATTTGAAAAAGAATTTCCGTAATTTAACTTAAAATCCTTGTGATACAAAAAATAAGATCTATAAATTTTCATATTTTTCTAATAATGAACGCACTTTGAATTTATTACTTGAGCCAGCAACTATAATCCTACTTAAATACTGTAAACTCTAGAATCTACAAACTCATCATTATTTATCCTGTTACTAAACTGAACCTACCCGCCTCCAAAGAAATCAACAAGAACATCCCGACGAGCTATGCGATTCACCCGGCTGAATAATCGGATCAACTGGTCGGAGGGATGGGTTCGGCGTCTGAAATGAAATGATATGTTATTTATTTTAAGGCCAATAAATTTGGTTATAAAAATTGTGGTTACCATAATTTTAGTCACAAATTTCGCAAATTTTTAGTCTACAACAATTTTAGTCACATTTTTCGACTTTTGGAGACCATTTTCTTTCCATTTATTTAATTTTACCATTATTTATTTGATGGGAAAAGGAAGTAAGATAATGTGAAAGCATAAAAGCAGTTGATTACACATGTAATAGTCAAAGTAGTTCAGTAGTAGGAACGGTGGTTATATTAATTATAAACAGTGTAAGCTCAATGATATGTCATAAATGCTCTACTGAAATTTAGGTCTGCTTTTAAATTAGTCGCCGAAAAATTTAGTCTCAATGAATTTGGTTTACAACAATTTTATTCAAAATTTTGACTTAATTTATTTATGGTAGACTAAATTTGTCGTTCTTAAGGTATGATAATGAAAATGTGATTATAAATGGGGTTAATCACTAATCAGTGTAGAGTTACCCGTTACCGAATCATCAAATATCCAGTATTCGGCATTCGGTATTTGTCATTCGAATATCCATGGATGGACAAAGGACATCTTACAAATGTTCCACCGGAACAGTTATAGTTCACATAGTTGCGGGGGGGGGGGGGGGGGGGGGGCCGGGGGGGAGGGATCAGGTACTAAGTTCTGTACGTGATGTCAACTTAGTGTAATTTTGGAATTTTTAAAAAAGACCCACCCACCCCCTTCGCGGTAATACTACTAACTGTTTTTTTTTCGGATAATATTTAAGACACCCACCCCTTTTGCCGGCTTTTGCAGTACTAACTGTTGAGAAATCATGGTATCATGGTAATAACAGTGTCTTGGTATAAAAAATAAGATACCCACCCAGAAATTGCTTTAAACAGCTCATTAAACATTGGGAAATGGGCAAATTATACCCACTATTTAGAAGGGGTTTTGTTTTCAATGAAGTCGAATTAGATAAAAAGTTATAAAGAAAAGGAAAAAAAATCGAAAAAAACCTGTAAACACAAAAAAACCCATTCCCAAAATTGAAATTAGAGGTAAAATGGGTAAAAATACTAACTGTGTTTTGGAAGAAAATATGACCCACCCCCCATTGTCACGTACGGTACTAAGTGTATGATAACTTGACCTCTTAGATTGTAAACAATTCTGGTTTTGGGATAGAGGAGATTGTAAACACTCCACGATTCGATGAGTTCTGCGCCCGTGTAGCTTTACTCTTTAGTACAGGTATTTAGTTCTTTAACCAAGTTATTTGAATGGGTGTTTTTACTACCGCTACCATCGCCCTGTTGCTTGTCGGTACGATTGCAGGTAAGAAGATTATCAAAACTACCTTTATGTACCCACAATTTTGGCATCAAAACATTTGGCACTTTATCATGATTCTATTTGACTATTTTTGGGAATAAAATTTGTACTCATTTGAGAGAGAGTGCCACCCAAAGTTTTCGTCGTGCTAATTTTCGAACACAAGGCATGTCATGCTATGAACTCAATGAGAAAATTTTCAACTTAATTATTTTAATGCATCGGAAGTTTCGAATTGCGATTGTTGTGAATCTAAGAACGATTTCATAGTAAGTTATTTTCCTTGCCTAACTGGTAGAGCCTCATGACCTGGCGAATTTTAACCGTCGATTTATTTCAGCCACATATACAACGGAAATATTTCCAACATCGTCAGAATCGTCTACCGAAATGATGTTTGCAAAACAAACTATGCCAAAGAAAACGATGGTGCCCAAATTTGGGGAAAACACGATAGCGCAAAGCTCTATAGAAAGTTCCACTAGGATTACATTTCCACGCTCAACTGCCAGCACAACTCACAATTCAACTGCATCCTCAGGATTAAAATCAACCAATAACCCAAAATTTGGTTTCTCATCAAACGAAGACACAGGAGACAAAATAGTAGTATTACTGGGAAACTCTCCAGACCTAATCTGTAAACTTTTCACAGCGTTGGTTTTAGCAGGTACGCGGCTAGTTAGTTTACTAATTAACTTACTAAGTTTACTTATCTGCTTAGTTTGGGGGCGAAAAACTGGAGAAACAGAGTATTTCAACAAAAAACGATTAATCGTATTGAGCCTAGTTCGATTGTATGTTTCAGGGGATGGAACAGACATAGCTGATGTGGCAACATTTATAGAAAGTATTGGAGCAACGACAGTGGCAACAGTCTGCGACGCGCTAAAACTATTTAAGGAGGTATTTGTGAATGATTCTCTAAACTTTTGTGAAAACGATAATATAAATCGGCATTTCCTCTTAAAACATTTGTAAAAACCAGCTAACGTATTCTAACTGTCGCTTTATTTCAGCTTCATGTAGAACTGATAACGGACTCTGACGAACAAAGTTTTAAAGATGCCATTGGAATTATCAATAACGTTGCAGAGTCTGCTAAAGTAACAGTTCAACCAACGTCCTTTGAAGACGGCCCAACAGAACCGAAAAGCGCAAAAATTTCGGCAGAAAGGACGAAAACAATTTCCTCGCCTCCAGTAACAACAACACCATCGCCCCCAGTAACAACAACACCACCCCCAGTAACAACAACACCGCCCCCAGTAACAACAACACCGCCCCCAGTAACAACAACACCGCCCCCAGTAACAACAACATCGCCCCCAGTAACAACAACACCGCCCCCAGTAACATCAACACCGCCCCCAATAACAACAACACCACCCCCAGTAACAACAACACCGCCCCCAGTAACAACAACACCACCGCCCCCAGTAACAACAACTCCGCCCCCAGTAACAACAACACCACCGCCCCCAGTAACAACAACACCGCCCCCAGTAACAACAACGTCACTTCCAGTATCAACAACACCACCACCCCCAGTAACAACAACACCGCCCCCAGTAACAACAACACCGTCCCCAGTAACAACAACACCGCCCCCAGTAACAACAACACCACCCCCAGTAACAACAACACTGTCCCCAGTAACAACAACATCGCCTCTAGTAACAACAACACCGCCCCCAGTAACAACAACACCGCCCCCAGTAACAACAACGCCACCCCCAGTAACAACAACACCGCCCCCAGTAACATCAACACCACCGCCTCCAGTAACAACAACACCGCCTCCAGTAACAACAACACCGCCCCCAGTAACATCAACACCACCGCCTCCAGTAACAACACCACCGCCCCCACTAACAACAACACCGCCGACAACGCCGGAGGTGACCTCGCCGGAGCCGACCACGCCAAAAGAAGCGACAAGTTACTCGCCAACAGTAACTTCTGCAACGATGATTGCGAACGACACAATGCCAAAGAATAACACCATCGAACTAAGTTCTACTGAAAGGGTGACGTTTCCACGTTCAGATACCAGTACGACTCAGAGTTCAGCCGAAAGTTCGACACAGAGTCCAACACAGTTTAGTTCAACTCCAGTTTCAACTTCATCCAGTACAACTGAAAAGAAGAATATTCGCCACAACATTCAATATAAAAAATACAGAAAGAAAATTCAATACGGGAAATCAGGAAGTCAGAATAAAGGAGGAAACGAGAAACCCGTGTATGGAAATCAGAATTGGAACTCCCAGCAGAGGTCCCAAGGCTTTCCCAATTACAATGGAGCTGGTTACAGAGGTGGAAATGGAGTCCCGCGGTACAACCAACAAGGTGGCAATAAGGCTGGTTACAGAGGTGGGAATGGAGTCCCGCGGTACAACCAACAAGGTGGCAATGGAGCTGGTTACAGAGATGGAAATGGTGTCCCGCGGTACAACCAACAAGGTGGCAATGGAGCTGGTTACAGAGGTGGAAATGGTGTCCCGCGGTACAACCAACAAGGTGGCAATGGCTACAATGGTCAATTCCAGGATCCGAGATGCTTATGTAATTCGTCTTGGGGCAGATGTATAAGTGGAAGCAGGAAGGTGGTAACAAAATGCAGCAAGAGTAGAGGTAACTTCTACTGCAGATCTGAAACTTGGAACGAGAGCTGTTTCGAGAACTGATTTGCTAAACGTTTCAGGGTAGTAGAATCGTTTGGAGTAGTCACCACAAAGTGAAATAGAATACTGGATTAGCAAAGTAGTGTTCACACTACGGTAGGGGATTTAGTCAAGAACGCTCTGCAATCGGACAATTATAATACCTTAGTTCCCAAAAATTTGTGTGCCATTATATTGAGCACAATTTATTTGAGCCCGAAAAATTTGGGCAGAAAATCTGAACTCATTTGGGCGACCGAAAATTTGGGCACAAATTCTTCGAAACATTAACGATTTTCCACTAAAATTTCAGTTAGATATTTGCCTTAGTTCATTATTATTCCTGTCATTTTGCTTTCAATTTTAAGCTTGTAGGTGGTAGTCTGAGTTGTTTCACATTATGAAATTTACGATCTGCCCAGTAACTACTAAAAAATACAGTGATGATGGCACAGTACAAAATGATAGATATACAATAGTGATATTAATTAGTCTTTCAATCAGATAGTTTAGTCTACTTACACTCAGCATATCTTATCATACCCCTTTCACATACACTTATCATTATGACGCCTCACCAGATGGTCGGAAGGTTTGGAAGAAAATTAGAAGGTTTACATCATGATCTATCAAACTAAGCGGCACATACGCTTAGCTTTGGGGGAACAAAGGTGTACATAATTGTGTGTAGCGAACTACTGTAAACCCGGACCAAAGGTCAAGTCTAATTTTAATTAACCAGACATTCATTTAAAATATAAGCCTTTTTACTTGGTCAAGCCATGAATGACAGATTAGAAAACTAAAATTTCAAATATTATTTCACTTGGATATGAAGAAAAAGCAATCTTTCTATAGATTTCAGGGCCACAGGCCAAATGCCAAAAGTTTGGTTAGCAAAAAATTTAGCAGACGGAAAACATTTATTCAATTAATTTGGTCTGCAAAAAATTTGGGCGAGAGGCCCGCTCAAATTTTTTGTCTCCCAAATTTTTGGGAATTAAGGTAGTGTAAATCAGCGCTTTTGGATTGGACCATACTATATAGCAGAATTTTTAATATATAATTCAATAATTTTCATTTTTATTTTAGAGGGTGTAAATACCTTAATGACAAATGTCACATTTAATGCTACTTTTTAACACAACTTCCGATGTGCGATGACTTAACTTTTGATTCGATAAGAATAGAATTACGCGCATGTTGATACGCGCGCGTATGTCAATGCGCGCGCGACAAGTGCTCGATAATATGATAAAGATCTCATTGGCAAGACATAGCGTGCTACATTAAGAAACCTCACAGATTTTGTCCATCGTGTTAGGTAAATGTGATTATGGTTGAAGTTCACTGTACTTTGCCTCTGATCGATTCAGAGGACAAAATTTAAATCTAATATCGTACGACAAATAGTCGACAATTATTTGTTTATCATTCGTACGTGATTTTGTCATGTTAAGCAACTTCCTGTTGGATCAGTAAACCTAATACTTTCATTCCGAATTATCGAACTTCTGTCGGTAATCTTCGATGCTAACTCACAGATGACACATCAGCGAATATATGTAATACCGAATATATGTAACACCGTAACATAAACCATATGTCCACATTTACAAACGAAGAGATATTCCAACTGTATGCGCGATAACTTAACGTTAAACATGCGCCATGTAATCCAAGAGTACGGTTACATGCGAGAAGGTGCTGGATTACGTTGTAATTAGAAAACCTGGACTTTACATCCAGATGTGTGTGTGTGTGGGTGTGTGACTCACACGCGAATCTTCTAAACTAATGATTCACATAGACTTGACTATCAGGTTATCCGTATTACCAGAGGGCTTTTCATTGCAGAGTAGCCACGCAGGAACAATGAACGTGTAGATTTAACTTAAATCTATCCTCACCAAAAATTTCAACTTTTTTCTCTGATTGCCTGATTTAACATCTGATTCTGACATGAGCTTGTTATTTACCTTTTGTAAAATATCTTCTGCAATCATAGTAAAGGCTTTGTCGATGTTAATGTTGGCTTTGGCGCTCGTTTCCAAAAACTTAAGTCCTTTACTTTTCGCCAACTGAAAGAAGGGAGTCATCAGAAAAAACACACAACTTATTGAGTAATACAGAGTGTCCAACGCAGTTACACAAAGTACACACTCATAAAGTAAGCTTATATCTAGAGTACTTGTAAGTGCGAATTAAACGTCTACAACTCTCTAAAATGTGGTTAAAATTGTTAATAATGTCACTTTCAATAGCTCATAAAGAATCCCCGTCTCGCTTGGAATGGCTGTGTAAAATGCGAAGGGTGTGATGACAATATAATGTATGTTTGTACGTGTGTATTTGTGTGTATTAAAAGTGTTTAACAGAGATATAGAGAGCGAGAGAGAGAGTTGGAGAAATATTGGCTTGCGACTGCTCGATTGACAAACGGCTAATTATGTGCAAACAGGAGAACAGTTATGTACTATTTCCATTCCTGGTATATTGTTCCCATCTCTGGTATATTGTTCCCATCCCTGCCCTGGTATATTGTTCCCATCGCTCGCGCTGGTATATTGTTCCCATCTCTGGCATTTAGTTCCAACCTGACTCTGGTTTATTGTTCCCATCCCTTGTATATTGTTCCCATCCCTGGTATGTAGTTCCTATCCCTGGCATGTTGTTCCTATCCCTGGTATATTGTTCCCATACCTGGTATATTGTTACCACTCCTGGTATATTGTTCCCATCGCTGGTATATTGTTCACATCCCTGGCATTTAGTTCCAACCTGGCCCTGGCATGTAGTTCCCATCCCTGTCATGTAGTTCCCATCCCTGGCATGTAGTTCCCATCCCTGGCATGTCGTTCCCATCCCTGGCATGTCGTTCCCATCCATGGCATGTCGTTCCCATCCCTGGCATGTCGTTCCCATCCCTGGCATGTTGTTCCCATCCCTGGTATATTGTTCCCATCCCTGGCATGTACTTCCCATGCCATCCCTGGCATGTAGTTCCCATCCCTGGCATGTAGTTCCCATCCCTGGCATGTAGTTCCCATCCCTGGCATGTAGTTCCCATCCCTGGAATGTTGTTCCCACCCCTGGTATGTAGTTCCCATCCCTGGCATGTTGTTCCCATCCCTGGCAAGTAGTTCCCATCCCTGGCATGTTGTTCCCATCCCTAGAATGTCGTTCCCATTCCTGATATATTGTTCCCATCCCTGGCTTGAGTTCCCATGTCATCCCTGGCATGCAGTTCCCATCCCTGGCATGTTGTTCCCATCCCTGGAATGTTGGTCCCACCCCTGGTATGTATTTCCCATACCTGGCATATTGTTCCCACCCCTGGTATGTTGTTCCCACCCCTGGCATATTGTTCCCATCCCTGGTATGTAGTTCCCACCCCTGACATATTGTTCCCATCCCTGGAATGTTGTTCCTATCCCTAGCATGTTGTTCCCATCCCTGGCATGTCGTTCCCATACCTGGCATATTGTTCCCATCCCTGGCATGTAGTTCCCATGCCATCCCTGGCATGTAGTTCCCATCCCTGGCAAGTTGTTCCCATCCCTGGAATGTTGGTCCCACCCCTGGTATGTATTTCCCATACCTGGCATATTGTTCCCACCCCTGGTATGTTGTTCCCACCCCTGGCATATTGTTCCCATCCCTGGTATGTAGTTCCCACCCCTGACATATTGTTCCCATCCCTGGAATGTTGTTCCTATCCCTAGCATGTAGTTCCCATCCCTGGCATGTTGCTGGCGTTCTACCTTACTTGAACCATTCTGGAGACAGGAACGAGCATGTTACTGTTAACAAGAGTCAAAAATACCGGCAGGCGGCAGGGCACTCAATTAAATTCCGTAAGTGTTCTAGGCGTGAAACATTGTCTTCAGGAGAAGGAATCTGTTGCTCCAAGTTATCCACAGGATAAGGAAACGGTTCACTGAATCACTTTAAATGTTTTACTGTTTCGAGGAGAATTGGTATTTGTTGCACTACTGTTCTCAAGAGAAGGATACCGGTGGTCTACTGTTTTGAAGAGAACTGGTGCACTACTGTTCTCAGGAGAAGGAAACCGGTGGTCTAATGTTTTGAAGAGAACTGGTGCACTACTGTTCTCAGGAGAAGGAAACCGGTGGTCTACTGTTTTGAAGAGAACTGGTGCACTACTGTTCTCAGGAGAAGGAAACCGGTGGTCTAATGTTTTGAAGAGAACTGGTGCACTACTGTTCTCAGGAGAAGGAAACCGGTGATCTACTGTTTTGAAGAGAACTACTGCGTTACTGTTCTCAGGAGAAGGAAACCGGTGGTCTACTGTTTTGAAGAGAACTAGTGCGTTACTGTTCTCAGGAGAAGGAAACCCTTGGTCTACTGTTTTGAAAAGAACTGGTGCACTACTGTTCTCAGGAGAAGGAAGCCGGTGGTCTACTGTTTTGAAGAGAACTAGTGCGTTACTGTTCTCAGGAGAAGGAAACCGGTGGTCTAATGTTTTGATGAGAACTAGTGCATTACTGTTCTCAGGAGAAGGAAACCGGTGGTCTACTGTTTTGAAGAGAACTAGTGCGTTACTGTTCTCAGGAGAAGGAAACCGGTGGTCTACTGTTTTGAAGAGAACTAGTGCGTTACTGTTCTCAGGAGAAGGAAACCGGTGGTCTAATGTTTTGAAGAGAACTAGTGCATTACTGTTCTCAGGAGAAGGATACCAGTGGTCTACTGTTTTGAAGAGAACTGTTGCACTACTGTTTTCAGGAGAAGGAAACCGGTGGTCTACTGTTTTGAAGAGAACTAGTGCGTTACTGTTCTCAGGAGAAGGAAACCGGTGGTCTACTGTTTTGAAGAGAACTAGTGCGTTACTGTTCTCAGGAGAAGGAAACCCTTGGTCTACTGTTTTGAAGAGAACTGGTACACTACTGTTTTTAGGAGAAGGAAACCGGTGATCTACTGTTTTGAAGAGAACTGGTACACTACTGTTCTTAGGAGAAGACAAACCGTTGGTCTACTGTTTTGAAGAGAACTGGTACACTATTGTTCCCCGGAGAAGAAAACTGATGCTCTAATATTTTCAAAAGAAAGGAAATTGTACTTTAGCAAGATTACTGGTAAACAGTAATAAAAGTCGACAATCAGTTTTTGTGAAATTTGAAAAACATTTTGGCTTTGGCCTTCAGCAGAAAAATTATCGGTTTTATCGGTTTTATCTAGATAAAACCTAAATTTTTATCTGTTTATCTAGATAAAAGATTTCATACCGATAATGGATAGCCTAATAGCAATCCTTTACTTCATTTCAGCCCATTTCTTGCGTGTAATTTCAACCAAAGTTTTGCGTCTGACATTTTAACAAACCTTCAAACAGCGTTTTCAAATCTTTTCATCTCCGAACTACATTATTATATTAACTTCCGGTAAAAGCTATCCATTCTATTACATCGATAGTAATACACCGCAGTTTACGACTACGTGACATCTTCAACTGTACTCACCTACAACGCAGACTCTCCATTCTAAACCGTATTGTGACTAGGGTTGCCAACCGATATTATCGGCCGATAATTATCGGCGATAATTTCCCAAAAATCGTTATCGATTATCGCGATAATTTTCGAGAATTATCGCGATAATCAACAAATGTTTATTTAAAGGGTAAAATGGCCAAAATTCAACATATTTTTCGAATCTATTTCTCTGTTTGTTAAGTTAAAACTCAGTGCTAGCATAATTTTCAGTGTGATGGTCTGCTGACGTGCTGTGTAGTGTGTACTGTGTAGTGTGTATGAATTTGTGGAAGTGAACATTGAAATGTTGCGTTATCGCATCTAGTATAATAATAAACATTTCCTGTGAACCACCGTTTCCAAATGTGTTGCTGTTTTTTTTCTTCTTCAAACTGCGGCATTTACATCATTGATAGTTACAGCAGCTCAGTATATTGCTGTAAATACGAGAGATATCTACATGATGATTATGGATATTTAAATTATATAATACGATACACATGGATAGTTTTTAAAGATCTCTGCAGAACTGTGTACAGAGAGCTTTTTAATGTTCACATTCTATAGATGATCTAATATTATTTGTGAAATGCGGTATCTAGGCGTGGTAAGCTATATTATATGTACGTATTAATATTTAATATATTATATTTATATGTTTGAGTTTTAATACTTTCAACACTTGTATATGTTAACAAATAATTTGAGATGGTGTTCGTGTTCAATAAAATACTGATGATGAAATAAATTGGTCCATTGAAAAGAATATCGTTGCATTGTTCAAGGGCTGTTCAAAATCTGAAATAATATTAAAAATAAGCAATATACAGTACCCTGGACCCTGTAGCTCGGGATGACACATCTTTGTTTGGTCACGTGACGATGGTTGTCGCAACAACGTCGTCTACTTACCGACAATATACCCACAAATTTAATAAAGCAATCAGCTAATTGGTTAATTGGTTAATACGTTAGATAATTAATCAACAAACCTGTTCACCCTGCTCGGTAGGAACTACTCTCCTTGCCTCCATATCACACTTGTTACCCAGTATCAACTTAGCGACATTATCCGTAGCGTGCTGCAAAACATAAAACATTAGTATACGGAGTAGTTTGATGTATAGTGTAGTTTATATAATACTACTACTACTACTATGTCGGAACTAAGTCTGATCTACACCAGATAACACCCTCCATATATCCCTGTCCCGCATGACATCAGGGTTCGCAGTTCCTCTTTAGAGCTTACATCCCAACTTCCTTCAGTAACATAGACTAGTAGCTTTGTCTTGGTCGGCCTTGCTGTGCTCTACCAAGCATAGGTTCCCATAAGACTAAATCACTGGCAAGTAGCTCAGGATATCTGATGCAGTGTCCCGCCATTTTCAATCTCCTACTTCGTAACTTGTTTGACAGCCTTGGTAGGCTACCATACAAAGTTATATATATAATACAAATGTACTTTACTCGGGAATATTATAGCGGGTTAATTTATGACTGGGAAAATTAATGACCGGGAAAAATATGGCGGAATGTTCCAAAACCCACCAAGCATCAAAATGTATTACTATTAGTTTACCTTACTCGGGAACATTATAACGGGTTAATTTATGACTGGGAAAATTAATGACCGGGAAAAATATGGCGGAATTTTCCAAAACCCACCACTTTATCCCAGTCATAATATTCCCGAGTAAGGTAGTTGGAAACTAAGAGTAATGAAACTAAGAGAAATTACTACAAGATATTGGATAATACTATTATGTAAACATCTGAGTTGAGTAGAATAACAGCTGATGATTACAAAACTATAAGTTACAGTGTACTCCATATTTACAATGTTTACGTAGCACTACGGAGAGCCTTATTTGTGCTTTACTAGACTATTCTTAGAACTAAACGTCCTGAAATATCCTAAATATCTTGAGATTCATAATATCTGATAACAGACAATGACCTTTGGCAACTCTTTGTGTCACGGGTCTAGTCAGGATCATTAGCCGAACTTGCTAGTGTTTACAGTGTTTCATCTTGTTACAATTTAGAGATCTTGGTCTGAATAACTCGGTAGAATTTGTTAGTGCGTACCGTATAATGTAGATCATTATTATATTCTCGCACTGGACAATAGCAATTAGTGTACTCGAAAAATGTGTATACATTCATAAACTTATTGAACCATTAAAACTGTTTCAAAGGTTCCTTTTGTTTGATGGTTACAACGGAGTTGTAAAAATGAGAGAATATAACAAAAGGTAAAGGTATGTGATAAATAACAACGGTACGTTGAATTTTTACCTGAAATTATTACAATTTAGCACTTTTACTTGTTTCGTACCAAAGTGTTACATAAAACCTTAGAAATGTAAGTTTTTCCCAGTAAGTTTTGAATTACTGTTGCGCGTCGTGACGCATGTCCAACATTCAATTATAATTACTGGACCTTGTTCAAAAAACTAGTCTACTCCTGCTGCAAATATAAGTAAACATTACAATATTATCAATATTAATAGGTAATTAATTATAGTCTCTTCTGTCCTTTACTGATATTTTGAACATTCCTAAACATCTCATCATGTGATGTTTCAAGAAAGAGTACCAGTGTTATAGCATTACTGACCAAGTGACCATTTCCAGATAAAAAATATCTGAGCCATCTCACAAAGGCGGGAGTATTGTGGTAGGGCGTAGCAAGGGCGCTCCAGAAACTACTATTCTAGAGCGTAATTTTTAACTATAACCCATGTAAGGAGAGTTATGTTCTGTGACGTCACGAACATTCCCAACAGTTCATTTTTACGCAGAATGTGACGTATGACACTCCGTCAGTTCAACAAATATTTAACCTTCACAAGTATTAGAAGGATACTGTAATTGATACATATCGGTAAAAACTTGAAGATTCTATGACATTTGCCGGAAGGACGCTGGAATTCTGCCCCTAGCAACTGGCTTTATTATGTTTTTTGGATAATGAACTGTCGTTTGAAACAGACCTGTGTTCTGCATAATTATAACAATATTATAAATAATATATGGACTTGTATTTTGTAGTGCACATCGTGTAAAGTGCTTATATGAACCAGACATAATGCGACAGGGTTATAATAGTCAGGGTCTCAGGGTCAAGATAAAACCCAAATTCCATGCTACGTATGAGAGATTCTGATAATTTAAAGCACAGAAGCGTTTAAAGATTTGATCTACATCTCACCAAATAAAGAAGTGGTTCAGTAGTCAGATGTGAAGTTACCACTATGACAAGTTTAAGCCATACTCATAAAACCAATTCGTGCGCGATGAATGGCGTGTAGACCTACTAGCTACTAATGATATTACATTCAATCAAAGGCTCAATGCCGATGGCCATGATGTTTGGAAAGTTCTTCACAAACATTTAAGAATGTATCTAAGGTCACATCTAGTAACATACCCCGAATCCCACATTTTATAGCTATGTGAGATACTTGCTTACTTGGCACATATATTGTGGAATGCAACCTAACTCCTGAGCTCCTCCTCACGTTTTAAGACACAAGATAGTCACACTCACGTGGTTGATATAGTAACAACACCGCATGAAACATCAGTTTTAATTTTAGTACCACCGTATGTCAAGAAAGAGTTCTAGAGAAATAATACACGGCTATGTTAATACCACTTGCACTCTGGATAAAAATAGCTATAATTCGAGATCACCGACTTCAGAAATAAAAACTTCCAGCACCGACGGCCGAACCCTAATTTCCACTTAATATGACTTGATTACCCATACCAGGCTTTCCTACCGAAAAACTTCGCAACACTTGACATCTCCACTCAATCACCCATCGCTGCTCGTAATTACTTAACTTTATTAGAACGATTTAAGACTTCACTTTCCTTAATAATTTCTCTTTATTTTATATTATGTCCAATTTCCGGTTACCATCTATCTTGACACGTTGACAATACATGTGCCTTCTCATTAGTCTCAGAGCAACTTATAATGCTCTACAGTTTACACTAATACAACGGGGGGCCGGGGGGGGGGGCGTCAACCTCATAAACATACATAAATACCTATTTTGAAATCGTTGGGAATAATAGGTATTTATGAGATTGATGCTCCCCCTATTCGATATTAAGATCAACGAATATAAGGATAGTTGCTTCTACAAAAAGGATTACTCGGCCTTCTGAACGGAAATGAGAAGGGACCTATCTCAATGTAACATTTAGTAAGAAAATAAGTTTAAAATAACGAACGTACATTCGCTGTAATATTATAAAAACTCAGCCGTTTATTACATCATGTTATTAGTTAAACAAGTTATTTCTCTATTATTGGAATGACTTCATCGGTTATATTATATATATACCTAATAATATAGATACCTACTCGCTGTTTTAACCACATAACTACTATCCATTACAACCGAAACACTTAAACATGTAATTTCTCCCACTTTATATAATGTAGCGTTGTGAGTGACGGCCCTGTCTGCTATTAAACCACTACAAATCTGCAAATCATGCATCATGATATAACACATGTATCGCAGCTTTAAGTGAGTACTACTTAACTTCTTTCTACTTTGAATTCAGTTTTCCATTTGCAGAAAGTTGCACACCGGATGGTTCAACATTGCCGGTTCTTTACTTCTTAAAGCTTCGGACCATATGTTAATGTAAAAAGCTGTGGTGGATGTACACATCGTACAGCTGTTAAATGACACTTGTATCAAATTTGTCAATTTGACTAAAGATCCGGGAAATTTGAGGATTGGACAACAGCTCACATTTACGCTCCAAATAGTTCCTTTTAATTTAAAAAGGAACTGATCATGATCAATGAGGAGTGTTTGATTTAAACATTTTAATTTCCCAACAATTATGTTACTCCAGAGTCCAGAGTAGCGTGGTAGTATTATGAGTATTCAGGTCCTCAAGGTTGGAAACATGAACTCTTAAGTTTACTATCTCACTATTCCACTGTTGTCGCTATTTCACTATTGCTCATTGATCTATGTTAGGGTTGCCAACCGATATTATCGGCCGATAATTATCGGCGATAATTTCCCAAAAATCGTTATCGATTATCGCGATAATTTTCGAGAATTATCGCGATAATCAACACATTTTTATTAGGGTAAAATGGCCAACATTTAACATATTTTTCGAATCTATTTCTCTGTTTGTAAAGTTAAAACCCAGTGCTAGCATAATTTGCAGTGTGATGGTTTTTTTCTGCATCTAGTAGGTAACTTGGAGGTTGTATGGTCAGACGTAGTTATTCCTTTCCTTTTAGTAGTTCCTTTCCGTGCTTTGTTGAAGCACGGAAAGGAACTCACACTGCAACGAGACTACAAAACTCGTTGGAGCTCGCTGTGCAGTATGTTGGAGAGATATGACCGGATAACTGATGCAGTGCACGGAATTTTAGATGACTAATGACTTGGAGCTAGGCAATCTAAAACTGGATGTAGAAGAGACTGAGTTAGCTCTCGCACCGTTCAAGACTGTAACTGAGTTTCTGTGTAAAAGAGGAAGCATGCTTGCTCAAGCAAAAGTGATTATTTAGTTTATTGACACCAAGCTAGAAGAGATCTGAGATAGACTCGCCATTTTCTCGAAGCCTGTTCGATAGGCTACGTACACAATATGCCAAGAGAAAGAACCTTCACTTCGTATCGCTGGTAAAGTTCTACTCGGACCCCGGTTTTCTTGATGAAGATGTAGGACAAGAATACAGAATGATCACAAAGTCAACCTTGATACGTAACTCTAAGTCTCTGCTCCAGCGGTTGTTTAAGCAGAAAGAGACTAACAGCGATTGAGCTTCGCAAGTAGTTCGACGATTGGTCCTCAGGACTCACAGACGACTCCCACAATTTCAGATGCCAGATTCCAGTCCTATCCCGCTGACAAAAGAATTATCAGACCTACATTAGGGCAGCGATTCGACTACGGTAGCAAGGACAAATACCCTTGCTCGGGAGATAGGTCTGTTCACAGCTAACAGGCAGCTAACAGGCAGCAGACTTTAAAAATTTTGTTGCTAGAAGCAATAATTATCTTTAAGAACATATTTTGTCTATGAAATATGGGCCTGTTAAATAAAAGGGCAATATTGCAATTGATTCTTTAACAAAGCAATCAGCACAAGATGTAACATAGCATAGGAGCATAATGCAAGTATGCAGAGTGCATACAAATATTACTTCAATTATATTGCCAAATTTATCGCCGATAACCGATATTATCGCGATAATTTTGAAAAAATTATCGATTATCGCGATAAAAAATTTTGTACCGATAATGGCAACCCTAATCTATGTATAAATATTTATAAGGTTATATTAAGAAAGAGAATCAGTGAAATTCAATTGAGCTTATTGAAAATGGTAACATTATAAATGGTAGCATTGTAAATGGTAGGCATTGTCTGCAAGTTGAACTATTGTACTACTCTTTATTTTAGGATCAGCAATTCTTTTACAATAACCAACAAATTCGACTCATTCAGAATGCTTCAGCAATAATTATTGGTATTTATAAGCCTGTTAAGATCTTTAATGGCTTATTAATTAAGAAACTGATTCAACTGGTTTTAAAACACATAAATATTAAAACAGTGTTGGAGCAGACTTTAATTGTATTATAATTTAAATGTATAAATCTACCAATTATAACATACCGAACGGTACTGAAGCTTTATGAAGGTTTCATCATAATATTTCAATTTCTACTATTTTATTAAAAGTTGGTCCTGTATATACCTCCTCTTAAATATTTCAGGGTAACATTGAGATTTGAGAACGTTAGTCTTATAACATGTATAGTAAGATGTATAGTAAGATGTATGTATAGTATTTGATATCGACTCCTAGAGTAATGAATAAAGTGATAATTTTTACATAATCTGGGCCTGATAAATAGTGGTTACTTGGCAATGCATAGAACTTCTGGGCAACTTTTTCACGCGAATTCGCGTTCCATGTTATGCATGCTATCCCAATAATGGCTATACACTGTTTATAGGGCTTTTTGTCTGTTCGGTATTTTCAAGACAAAACTTCTGAATGAGTTATTATCCCCCTCCTTAAAAAGAAAGTTTGAACTATTTTACTGTTTTACAGGGTGGACACACAAACTTCTACACAATATTCTGATTTGTAATAGAGGGGGAATTTTAAGGCCTCACAGTATACTTCTTATGTGCTGTAATAAGCTGACTTGTCTATGTTTTTGGCTCGGGACACAGTAATTGTAGTATGGCATGTGTTCTTTAACAATGATACACTTCACAGACACAGAGTGATCTGTCTAATATCGTGGCGAGGTTGGAGAGGAAGGACTAAGTTTTAAGTTTAAAACGCTCCAGTTGACAGAGAAATGGCTGGGAGATGACTGAGATTACCAACTGTCACGTGACATGATCTAAACAAACATTTCACATGACAACATCTAAAACGTGCCTTAGCACGAACCCTTTATATCACGTTCCATTATAAACGGCAAAATTCTATTGTATCTAAATATATTAACATTGCATAATGCATTATGTGTTTGATCAGGTCGTTAAATTCCTGAGTCCAATATTATGGCATGTGATCTGGCAAAATTCCAAAATACCCTCTCGCACACACGCACACACACACACCCACACACTAACAGTTACAAGATGTCACAGACAATAAATATACAATAAGTTCGTCAGCCAGCAGCTCGAGTCAGTCAACACGAGCGAGCTGAGGGTGTGTGTACATTCCTTAAATAATATTGAGGGAGAGAGAGGCCAGGGGAGAGAGTGTATTATGACCTCGAATGAAGTGTAGAGTTTTAACAAGTGTCAAGTGGACATACTTTTAAATTAGGTGTAAGTTTTAGTGTAGGTTCGCATAACGGAGAGTTAGAAACCACGTGATGTCTTACAGTGGTTTTAGCGCTGATCACGTCGAGTAAAACACAGCGTGTAAAACTTTCATAAAGCAGCTCAAAGATTGAAGGTAAGATGACATACAATCGCAGCTGATAGCCGCACGAATCTCTATTTGATCCAGTTTGGAACTGTAAGTTGGTAAATTTCCAACCCGGTCACATAGAATCTAGCTAGACGGTACGTGACGCGGTTCACTCAGAGAGAGATACAGAAGGAAGGATCCCACTTTATTCTATGCAACAGAATACAGAAGTAAAGTTAAAGTTGTCTATAACTCAGGCTAGTGCTGAACTCTTTCAAACTGCTGGCTGAATTATTATCACGTACAAGGAATTACGTGACGTTGCTAAACTTGCGAGCTGCTATTATATATAGCATTTGAACGAGGGTGTTTCTCTACAGATCCAGCTACATTTTCTCATTAATTTCTCCCAGGTAATGAATATGAAAAACAATTTTCTTGAAATTCTAAGTATTCTCGTATGTTGTATCATGTGATAGGATGTACTTTGGTTACATTCTTTCTGACATGAGACTCGCTGGAGCTATATAAATGTATTCTTTTTACAACTCTAGATATATCATATAGCCACTTGCCAGTACTATATCTGAACATGGCATTCCTTCGAGTTTTATAGTTTGAAAATGTAAAACATGTAACACACTGTAAAATTACAGAATAATTGGAAAACTGCAGAAATTCTAAGAATTTTAAGTCCATACTTACGTCCTCAATGTTCCGTAACCATTTGTTGATATTCCCAAACGATGAACTTTGTGTAATGTCGTAAACTAGCATTATCCCCTGCAGGAGAGTATTAGTTTTAATCGTCTACCAAATTCCTGGCAAATAACTTTCATAGCATCATTGCATCCCTTCTCTCTTTTATCTTAAATATTAGTTGCAAATTGAACCGCTCTTCGTTATAAATTTGTATCATAAAATACTGTTCTGGTCTGCAATTAAACACCTTACAGAAGCTTTTACAACATCCGGTTACAAACTAGAACCAGAAATGTATGATCTTACAAGTGTGTAAACGCTTGAAATTTGACACTGAAGATTGTACACCCTCTGGTAAGATAAAACATGACATTTGAGTTCAAATGAAGCACAAATCGATTTATCTGGTGGATTTCTGAAGTTGTGAAGTCAGACTTCCCGATATAACTCTTAGTAATGGTATTCTGTGCTATGTGTTGAGCGTTTTAATACTACACCATTGTTAATAATATGTCATATATATATACTATATAATGTACACTTGAATATTTATTACATATGTGCGATAGCTTTAAAATATTCTCTTATATTCGATATTATATAATAACTCACATTCTGTGAAATAATATGAGCAATATTAATAATATACACTATTGAACATTGGTTACAAGTAGGAGTGTTACCCCCCCCCCCCCCCCCCCCCCCCCGAGTGTTCCAATACACGCCATTAAATTCTCTGTTTAAATATATAACTAATCATATTATGTAAATTATTCGTAGTAATTACTCATAACTGTATTGAGTAACTTAATGTTATGAAACGTTTGACACTTTGACAGGAAAGTAAACCACATATAATATACATAATAACCCATAATAACACGGATTTGAGTAACGAACAATAATGCACTAACATAAGTTAGAGCAGGCCTGATTTTTCACGGAACGAAATTATAACAATTTGAGCAGCGTTTACACATGTTGACTTCAAATAAAAGGTTTAAATTTTATTACACCATCAAATTTCATTAAATAATTGATACTTTAGACTTGACATTTTCATTAATTAGTTACACGTATTACTGCAAATTATAAAACAATGTGAATTCCTGGAAGTTAGCTAATACTCAAAGCTAACACTCCAGAGTATAATAATCTGTCTGTTCGATTGTTACCACGCCCAATCATGACACGTGACAATTAATTAGTGGTCTTACTCAGCACAGAATTGCTCACCCAATACGTATCTGAAGGTATTCGCCTTAGCTGCGAAATTCTCGGCATTAAATTCCTTACTTTACGTTAATTAATCAATAAGTGTCGGTGGGTTGTGCAGTTGTCAGCCTATATTTTCAATCTCATACCTAGTCAGAGTGATTGAAATTCTGGTTTTGCAGTTGTCATCCTAACAATTTCAATCTAAACCTTTTCTTAAATCGGAGTGATTCCATTTCTGGTGAGCCTATAATTTCAATCTAATATAAAATCAAATCAAACCTGACTGATTTCAAGTCAGGTTTTTGTGGTGAGCTAAGATCGCATTGGATGAGCAATTAAAATACATATTGTACAGAATTTCTTTTCAAACATCAAACAACACTGAACTACATAACCGTATATATTTTACACCATATATACCTTTATCAAATATTAACTTATATTTGACGCTCTCATTGCTGTAACACCTGGGTCTTGTTAGAAAGTCAATGAAAACAGTTCCAATATCTAAGCTGAACTGCAATATGTGTACAATAATGTGTCAGGTGTTAATTAGCCGATTGAAGAATGGAACTCCGTTGAAATGGCGCCATCAAAAACACGTACCAATTAACATTTTCAGTGAGAGCATTGTTACAACTGGTTACAATTTATGGATGTGTAGTAACTGTAATGTAACGGTTATGACTCTGAGAGAATACCATTTATGTAGCTGGGTACTGGGTAGGCACCCTCAACTTTCGTTTTGATACTTGTAACTTAATATTAAGAAAATGAGTCAGTACCCATACGTTGCAGGCTAAACTTACGTTTTGGGTCTTATACATCCGCTGTGTTTTATATTTGAGAGTTTTTGCTTTGCAGATGGCATACTGTACCTACTTGTTCGAGGATTCTGACCCCAAAATTTGAAAATTCGAATATTTTAGACCACGCCCATTCAATATCAAATGAACCTTCATTTGAAAAAAATGAACACGAATATTTTTAGAGTTGACAAATTCCTCGAACCAATGGTAGTACTAAGTCATACCAGAAAGAATTATTTCAATTGGGCAATCAGTGACTGAGCTATAAAGGCCAACGTATGGGTACTGACTTTTGAGTAATGGCCCACCCTGTATTATTTCTGAAGAAGGCTAATAGAAAATGATAATGACGTGGTCATGGGATGTTCCTTCTCTAGGACGATTGAATTCCGTCAGTCGGTGATAAAATAATAGACGTATTGCAAAGATGCAAATATGATTATGAACCAAAAGCGAAATACGCTTGCGCAAATATATGCCTGTCCCGTCATTGGATGTAAATATATACGACATACGTGTACCGTTTTTAATTTTTAACATGCAATACGTGATAAAATTTGATCTTGTGGCACAATGTTCTCGAATTCCATGACCTCACACAGAAATGGTTTGGGTTTATTTGATGTGAAGCTATAGATAGGACGTTTTAGGTTGATTAGAATTATACCTCAAAATCACATCTCAATTATTTAATTCAACTTATTTAATATCAAATGATGTTATTTACGAATATGTTACATAGTGATTATTTTAAGATAGTTTGATGATTAAAGATTTAATTTTCTTCCCCATACATGGGTCGTTGAGTAATAATGTGAACATAAAACATACCATGGCTCCTCTGTAGTAGCTTGTTGTAATTGTCTGAAATCGTTCTTGTCCTGCTGTGTCCCTGAATGAGAGGTGTTACAAATTAAGAACTACAAAGTACAGCCCTGTACTAAAGTACAGCACTGTGTTTAAAATTGAGTTTCAAAAATTTTGCAGATTGGCAAGAAATGGGCAAAATTTTGTTGCCCGTTTATAAAACATCAGAAACATGTAAATGTACCATATTTGAAGTTTTATTTTCTTTCCATGAAGCTCAATCGTTTTGATTTTGAAATCAATTCCTGAAAAGCATTTAGTTTCAGTACCCTAGGAAAATGAAAGCCACAGGGTAATTTTCCAGAACTTAAATTGATAATTCATTCGACAAACTTCGAGTAAAGAAATTAACTAATTTTGAATAAGCATGCAATAAAATGTATCTGAACAAGGATGAAAATCAAGCTCAAGATTACCTATGGTGGATATAAAGGTGGAGTTGAATGCGTCATCTGAGAATCGAAACAAGATGCAGGTTTTACCCACACCACTGTCACCAATGAGCAACAGTTTGAATAGATAGTCAAACCCTTTTCTTTGAGAAGCCATGATCTAAATGTAGTTAGTTCAATATTAGAGTGCAGTTAAATTCATTTTGACTGTAGTAATCTACTTCTTGTATAGGATAAAGTTCAGACATATGCTTTACATGCACAATGAATAGAAATACGAAAGCATTATTAGAAATAAATTATCAAATAATTGAGAATACAAACTTAGCAAATGTAATATTGTATTTTTCAGATAAAATTCAGATTAAGAAACATGCTTTATATTAGGTATCGAATTCTTAAAAGAATATGAAATAGTGTGTAAGCTTAGAGATGAATTTAAAACAACTAGAAGCAGACGAAATTTGTATTATCTGTAAATTGCATCTAATCAAAACACTGAAATAATGTCTGATAAAACTATACAGACAATTCAACACTCAAATAATGCTGCTGTCATGATCCTTGGTCTGCGAAGCTGTTCGGAACTGAGGGTAAATTTTCAAGGTCACACAAATCGCCAAAGTCATTGTAAAACTCTAAGTGAACTGAAGGAGAGGAGTTTAACATGTCTGAAACAGACACAATTTCAGGGTGTTCATCGATGTGATTCAGTTCATCCACTTCAATACCAGGGTCTGCATACCTGTCATATGTACTCATTGTCCTATGAATAATGGTATGTTAAACTTTTTAACCATGCAGTCGAATTGTAAAAGCAAATTAAGGAATACAAATTTGAATTTTGATCTAGATATTCAGATTAAATATATCATAGATAACCATAAAAGCTGCGCGTCGGCTGATTGCCTCAACTTGGATTAATAATAATTTCAATCGACAAGATGCACCATCGCGATCGACAAGATCAAGGACTTGAATGCCAATAATGTTTAAGTAAATCAACATTACACAAATAAGGATAATAGCACATTATAATGGTTGCCTTGTTAAGAGATCATGGATATTGTAGGGTTATCCTTTAACACATCCTTTGAAAGGGAAAATTAATCGAATATCTATTTAAAACCACATTGCTGTGTACTAATTAATCTATTGAATTATGAATTATAATGAGCATGTCCTTCATGAATCACAATCTAAAGTTTAACCACAATCAAAATGGAAGTTACTATTGAGTGATTATTGAATTTATGAATTTATGATTTTATAAATTAATCTAAAATGCAAGGTGCAAAGACCCAATAAAATGGTAACTAATTACGATTTTGTGAACAGTTGAAATAGAGGTAACCAAATAAAAACTACAATACACCAAATCATGATGATGATGATAACTGGACAAAAACTCAAAGGATAAATATCTTGCACGCTGATGACCTTCATTAATGTTCCCAGGGCGAAGGAAAGCCAGAGTATAATGGCGTTGGATTTCAAAATATGGCTGGAGTCATAGCTGACAAAAAACAGTAACTGGATGTTATCAGCTTTATCTCTAGCGAGATCATGGTGAGTAAATCAAATCAAATCATATCAAATCAAGAAGAATAATGACATGAACATCATTTTCACTTCTAGAAGCGGTCGTACAATTTCTTACCTGTATTCTAAAAATTGTAATTAAAATATAAAGTCTATAAATTTAATGTACATTACTTTTTAATTGAACATGATCATTTGACCATTGTTAATGGTCTGGCCCGGCGCGCGCTAACATTTCGAGAAGAAAGCGGCGCGCGCTACTTCGAAGAAATTTAGACGAGTAACATCCGTCAACATGATCATGTGATCGCCGCATGAGGTTATGTAAATGCGCGGGGTACCTTTAAGCTTAAATTATTTACCTTACTGAGGCAGTCAATTACCAACGCGCGGCTTTATTTTTGTGATATGATATGTTTTGACTGTTATTAATAAATACCAAAATTTAAATTTGTTTTCCTAAAATTTGTTTTCCTAATTTTATTAAACTATTTTCAATTACAATTAAATACATTTATTAAGAATTATGTAGTGTAACGCAATTAACCATTGTTAATGGTTTGGCCCGGCGCGCGCTACTTTGTAGCACTTGCCATCGGGCCAGAAATATTTCGAGAAGAAAGCGGCGCGCTACTTAGAAGAAATTTAGACGAGTAACATTCGTCAAGTAACGCGATGAAAGTAATTTAAGCGGGCATATCCTGTCCAAACCCAGGATGCACGGCATAAAAATTAATTTGTTGTATCACGTTGCGACCCCCACGGTTGTTTCACTATATCGTTTCACTATATCGTTTCACTATATCGTCCTGACGATACAGTGGGAGCCGCGCACTTCGTGAGCGGTGGGTCATACAACGTATGACAAAATGTTACATGTTTGATGTTACTCATTACTTTAAAATTGACAATTCCAATAAAACCTTTTATGCAGTGTAGTGTGTTTTCTTTACCGGGTATTTGAAAAGTAGTAGTGCAGTAAAAATAGCAGAATTAGATATAAATTTGGAGCCAGTTCTTTAAACTGGCTTACTTATAATACTACTTAAAGGGTGTATCAAGGGTTTTCTATTGAATTTATATTGAATTTTATATAGGGTAATTGTTATATTATGTGTATATTGTTTGAATAATTTTATTTTTAAAAAAAAGTATTTGGATATACTGGGCCTATTTTTGAATTTGTTCACATGTTTTATAAATGTAGCCGAATCACTTTTACTCTTTTTTGTTATATCGATTATTTTTGGGCTTGTTCTTGGTCCCAAAAAAGATGTGATATGCAGCTAAGGATCGGATACATAATCATAATGTAATCATTCAATCTCGCGAGTTGACTGAACCCTATTGCTGTTTTCAGAGTAAATCTCATAATCGTTACACAACTCCTGAATCATGAATGAGTTAGAACCTCGAAATCTTGAAAGACGATTCGGATTGAGGTTTTGAAGCCAATGTAATATTTATTTTTAGATAAAAATGAGCTTAACAACTTCATGAACGGAAAACATGAACAGGCTCCTGATAAAGTTTTGCCGTGAAGTTTTTAGCACGACATTGGTGCATCAGTGCACATGAACTCAGTGGCGTAACATTGCCCGTTGGCACCCCCTGCTAAAATTGAACTAATTAAATGATTTAAGAGGGTACACCGGCAAAATCTCTAAAAAAGTGTGTTTCCAGAGCAAAACGCGCAGTTTTGCTAGTACTGTAGTTAAGTTTTTCGAAATTGTCCCACATTCAAACGACGATTTGGCGCCCCCCTAAGATTGACCCCCCCCCCCCCCCCCAGAGCGGGGTCGCAGGGGCGCCACTGCATGAACTAAGAATTTTCTTGTCACATCTTTCCAAATTACATATATAATACTAGAAAACCCGTGGTCATTGGGAGGAAGCTAATAGTATTTTTTGTTAGTAAGTTTAAATCGCATCAAAAAATATCCTACACAACCGAAGATACAGCCGATTAAAAAGTTTCTCGCACTAAACACAACGTAATATCACCAAAGCAGATCATGTATTCTGGGTAAAATTATCTTTATCCCGGTTGTTGCTACATTACAACAATGCGACTCATAAATAATACTCCAATCCGGATTTTACATCAAAGCAGATCAAAATGACGTTAAAACAATTATTGCACGTGCACGTGCGTGTAACAATCCTCGTCACCATGGTTACTATGCAAATTCCTATTTCTCATCTAATTTGCATGTGGGCGGTCGTACAGACAACAAAAATAATTCTCTGAATTATAAGTAAGATAATAAGTACAAGTAAGTATATATTGACAAATTGGAGGGTTGAGTTGGTTTCCAGCACAGGTTGCTCTCAAATCAAACAATAAGCCGTGGCCTTCGTCAATTGAACCTATCTCAAACCTTCGCTGATTTATTCCTTTACCATAATACAATTTTGATTAGCAGCAACTGCTGTATGCTTGGTATACAATAATATTGTTAGTTTGTGCTGTAAAAATAAATAATTGTTTTATAACCGTTGCTTTTGATGTTTCAAAGCTCACTAAATTATGACGACCTCTTCTATGTCACTTTGAACTTTTCAAGTGAGGCAAAGAAATGATGATTCTTGTAATAGGTTTTCCATCAAAAACTAAGCCAAAAACTAGTTTGATAAACATATTCGGTAGCAATTTAGCTCAAAACAACATGATATAGCCACACTTTTAGCATGAAGGATGAAAAGTAGCCAGGACAACAATGTGGGTTGTGGCAGTGTTTGGGGTGACAGTTTTAATCAGCTTGGTCTTGGTCTGTGTTGGTTGCAGGTAATTGATATGATGTATAATTATATTGTTTGGTATTTATGATTAAATACTTAATGAAATTGATGCATATTTTATGGCTAACCCCCAGGCAGTTATTATATTGTATATGTACTGATTGTTTATGGCATTAAGTTACTATTAGTCACCAGACCTTTCTTTCACAATTGCAAAATCTTAACTCCTTTTCTGAAAATTGAGGAGAAACTGACAACAGCTTGTTCTGTAAATGGCATTAATCGAAACACACATTCAGGATCTACTGTACTTGAAATGGAAGCTAATAATAACCATAATAATAACCTCAATATAATAATGGCTAACTCAATCGTTATACATGTTTGGAGCCTTACTAATTAGACAAACTAAACAAACATTCCGTTGTCATCTGAATTGGCTTTGAGTTTGATTCAAAACTCAAACTTTGATTTAAAACATAAACGAAAATAACAATCATTAGAATTGTTCAATTACATATTTTTAAAATTTTAACAGATTTAACCGATAACCAGATTCCAACTTGAACTATTGTAGGTTTAACATTGTTCACGATTTCAGGGAAAGGGAGAAGCCTTCCGGTAATGGACCAGGTCTAGAGAATGGGGTAGCTGTAGCTGTGAGTAGTTCCTCTTTTTCAATTACTATATTTACCTGGGGTAGCTGTGAGTAGTCCCTCTTTTTCAATTACTATATTTACCTGGGGTAGCTGTGAGTAGTTCCTCTTTTTCACTTACTATATTTACCTGGGGTAGCTGTGAGTAGTTCCTCTTTTTCACTTGCTATATCTATTTGTTTTTCTCTTCTAATTCTGTAACTAAAATTCGATACGTTTATATTAATTTATAATCTGATCGTAAGAAATGTTATACAAGCATAAAATTGCCCATTATACAATATACAGTCATCTTCTAGGACCAACCTCATGAATTGAATTTCATTTATACATATTTTATTTTACGTTCTTGTTTGCCAATTTTGTGCAAACATTACCCCATGTTTTCCTCAGGAAAACGAAAACCATGCACTGGACAATGTCGCTGTAAACGTAAGTAAAAAAGTAAACTTGTTTCTAATCATTTATAATATTAGTACAGAATACACTGGTTTAGTTGAATGTTAAGTTAAAGCTATTAGTACCATTTCTAATGTACTGTGATACATTCGCCTACTAAAATCAAATTTCCTTAGGGAAGCTATACACTGAAACAATGGCCATGTTAATATATCATTCTTACAATCATGTATTTGTCTTTAGCTTTACGATTAACGAATATGGTTTACCATAATGAAACACATTATAGTTTAGTGTGTGCAGTGATCTATGAAGTAAATATTTTTGCCCATGTTGTGTACATCAGTAATTGATAGTATATACTATATGTATACTGCTTATTATATATTATACAGCATAGATCAGTTGCTATCCCAGAAGGAAGCCAAATGAACGCAAACCCCTGGAGAATTGTTTACTAGCAAGATCATTGGCTTATCTCGTCCTACACTCTGTATTTGTTACAAGTATACATTGAGCTGGTACAATAAAAGTACCAGCTCAAGTGAGCAGCACAGCTTCAAAGTGAAATTAGAATATTCGTGATAAGAATCACAGCAAGATTGTACACTGATTTACAATAGGTTAGGGTTGACCTGTGAGTCCAGAAAGGAGTGTAATGGGTGAAATTATGAGTTGTTACACAGGTTATGTCACTAATATAATGGTGAGTAGTGAAACAGGTGAACGAGTCTGTGGCTGACAGACGTCTAATTTGTCACGTGACGTGGTCACGGCTATATTATTACACACTGTGACACGCTCTAATGGTGCTAATGTGTCATTCAATGATGTCTGAGTATTATCATAATTTGTAACCTGTCTGATATTAATGGTCCTGTACTAGTCTATCAAATGATAATATGAATCGGGATAATGTTGCAGATGATATGTGGAATATCGTCCAGTCTTTTCAGGAATTAATACTTGTCGAGTTTAACCGTACATGATGAACGATAAAGATAACGTAGAATTTTTTACATGCTAAGGAAATTTGAAACTTATTTATTAGTGACAAGAGAAAATATTGCGATAAAGAGTAAATGTATGTGTGAGTTATGTGGGGTGCCAGTGATGTGCTGAGAGTAAAACTGATGTTAAATTAAATTAACTTACATTATCGAAATTATGCTAATCCTTTGTCAAGAATAATTGGCAGAACAAATGATTATTTACGATTTAACATCATCCCGTGTGACAACTTTTACCATCTTTCTTAATTTTTTGGTCTCCGTACAAATCATGGCAACTTCTGCAGCAGTAACAGGTACAGGTGAAATATTAAAAAGATTGATGTGTTTTATCCACCCTCCAATCATTTGCCTACAAATCCTGTTGAGTCAACTGGCGATAAGTAGCTCACTATTAATGGGATATAATTTACAAAGCTCTCCTATTCTCTTACCTGACACATACCTGAGTACCTGTAACCTTCCCATTCTTCTACCTGACACATACCTGTAAGTTGTAACCTTCCCATTCTTCTACCTGACACATACCTGTAACCTTCCCATCTCCATCCTAGTTCTAGACATAGTTAGACATAGAGGGAGAGGCAACAAATCTATCCAGTTTCCTCCCTCCTCACCCCTCCCTCACTAGTACACTCCCACATAAGTGCCCCCTATTCCTACCTACTGATCCCTTCCAGCTCATTTTCTCCTTCTCTTCATTGTTCCCCTACTACTCTCCCCCCCCCCCCCCCCCCCCCCCGCTACTACTCCTCCAATCCACCTCTTTGGTCCCTGTATATCAGTTGATAGTTTATAATGTTTAGTAGTTCTTTCATCTTTGACTTTACTTTAATCCTCTAAAGCAACGTCAGTTACAGTACAATGATTTTGTCAAAAATTAATCTCAGAATTTGCCTTTGTAATTCAGTTAAAATTCAGAGCTGGAATTTTAATTGAACATTTACCACGTATACAACCTACTATTTCACCAAAATATCCGACCAAGTCTTCTATAAAGGACTTGGTAATATAAATTACTAACCTTATATTATATACCGATCATTTCCCGCCAAAGGTTCACAGCATCTCCAGACATTACTCTTCTCAAGAAATCATCGCTCCCTCCGCTAATTATCATCAAACTCAACCCGTCTAGACATTTCATTTTTAAGGGATCAAGATATCGTTAGATGTGTGGCACCAAATAAAAAGGAGATTACATCTTTAGCTATTTTGGCTACATGCCAAGCATAGTTCCGGGCAGAGGAGTTATGTGAGTTGTTAGGTACAATATAATGTACACTTCCTCTTCTAGACGAGTACAGGTTGTTCTATTGTGTGTTTGCGCTAGATTTGTACATGTAAATGCCCTTTTTTGAGATGATTTTGTTTTGTTAGTTGACCACGTGTGTCGTGTTCCTTATAATTTTGCAACGTCTGAAACAAGTATTTACTTCTTAATCACCCTCGTATGCTAAAGCAACAAATGGTCAAAAAACATCAACAACTCGGCAGCCTAAACTCTCTCAAAAATATCAACAATTATTGCAAGTTAGTAAGAACAAGTTTGATTGTGGTGTTCCAACTCTCAGCAAAGTGTTAACAGCCAACACGAGCCAAGTATAGGTTGGAACTTCAACGGGTCCACGCAATACACGACCAGGCTTCTCCACCGTTAATGGTCCACTATTATCACCTCCAATGGTTCTGCATTGCCACGCTTATGCGAGTTTTTGTTGGAGATTTTGTTAGGATATCTAAATAGTTAGAAATCGAACAAATTGAACAATTTGTCAGCATATATTTAGGTGCAGCCCCGTAGCTTAAATCATGTTTTGAGCTTATCAATTTGTTGAGGGATCATTGGTTTAAATTAATAATAAGTCTGTCTGTCGCAAAACCAGGTTTTCCCAGATCATTAATCAGATTTACCAGCTCATTTGCCGATTGAAAAAAAGCGGTTCCAACTGTGTTGAAGCCTGTGCTAAGAATGTTAAGTCGTAGTGTCTTTCTGTTGTGAGAGTCGCTGTAGTATGTAGCTTAGTGTAAGACAATAGACAGACGCGGGTCTAAATCGGGTGCAAGGACAAGCCACAGTATCGGGCAGACTTTTTGTGAAAAATTAGAGCTCGTTACTAGACTTCAATCTTACCGTGTCATTATGCGTATGTAACGGAATATTTTATACTGATCTCCCATAATCACACTATGTCGCCCCGTGACAAAAGTTTCCAGTTGTAATCGGAATTGCTCGAGGCTTAATAATGTCTTATCTCTGATCGTCGCATTGTTGGCTTGATTTCCAATTTTCACACTTTCAACCGAGCCCCAGCTTCGTTTTTTAAGAAGGGGGTGCTAGATTATGTCGGTCAAGTTGACTGATAAGCCGACAAAAATAATTGAGTGCCTTTGCCCCCCTTGGCCTTGGTTTTGCAAATGTGGGGGATTGCCAAAGAATCGTATTGTTCAAATTTAGGCGGGCACTCCTCTGGATTTATCAATCTTCTCAATCGTGGGAGGTTTTTAATGATTCAGTTTTTCGACAGTTTTTCTCTTCCTTACTTTAACCGTCTGTTTAATCTTTGCCGGATCATCCTAACGTGATTTAGCCCGTTTAGGGATAGTCGTTGTAGACCTCTAACTTAATGATATGACACCTTGCCGTACACTAATTGTTACAAAAAAGACAGTAAGGCAAATTGTCTTACAAATCTTATTTTCTTGACATCTTTCACTTTGAAAGAGATCTACATGATTTGTCAAAACAAGTTATGGGACGTAAACACACCCCACAAATACCATCTCGGATCTTCAACAATTTGCTCTTTTTTATTTGTTCTCGTACTACAAATTTGTCGTGATTTTTTGTGTGCGTTATACGTGTGTTTTAAGAATTCCGTTCCCTTAGCCGCACGCAAAACAGATTCTTCCACTGCATTTAATTGAGTGATAACATAGCGCAAATTAAAGTTTAATTAAGGTAAAGGAGCATGCTAAGGAGTGCAATAATAACGCCTCTATAATACAACTAAAACTTGCACGACTGTACATCAAAGTAAGGTCCGAGCTGAAGAAGCTAGGTTACTAGATTGCTGCAGGGCTGTCGTACCTGACACGCCGACACACGTTGTAGTTCATGAGGTGAAGTTTGGAGGAATAGTAGGCGAGGCTTTAGTCCTGATAATTGCCCGGTATTTTCTCTGCTATGTAAACGATGTGCCAGTTTTGAACTTTGTGACATCTGTTTTCAATAATTGGAAGTGTAACAGTGGGGAGTCCAGTTTTTTGAGGGTTTGATATTTTGATTTTCTGGCAGATGGCCATAGGAATCTAGGGACCCAAATGTATGTGCTCCATGAACAATTATTTTTGATTCTAGCGATACTCCATTCAATAAGATCTACAAGATCTGTGATATTGCTATGAGTTCTACCCAAACTAAAGAGGCAGTCTGTTTTTACAGGACTTCGTATTCCTGTTTAGACTGAGATATTACCCCTCCTTCTATGGCATCATCTTTACATACTAGGGGGTCGCATATTCCAATCCCAATGTTAAGAAGAGCCAAGAAGAGAGACCAAACCAACTATATTTACCTCAATTCTCAAGTCTTTTCAGACGCAGAATCTTCTACACTCTCTGACTTCTTCTGATGTCTGGGACTTACGACCCCAGATGTAGCTTTCAACGACGTTTTAAGGGCCCAACGTTCAGCTGTTCATCAGGGTTAAACTGGGCAGGGTCTTTCAGCCAGCTGCCAGTTGTCACTCCAGGTCTTGTTGTAGCGACTAAGCCAGATAGTGTAGGAACCTTACTAAAAGTAGACGGTTTTAAAACTGTAAGCCTTGATATGAGATCAGAGCGAGAAGCCTAAATAAAAATCGTTTAACCCTGTGCAAAAGATAAACGTGCTGTTTGTCTGAAGGGAGCGCCAGGATGCCTGCCAACATGTCTGTCAGTATGTCTGCCAGCAAATCCAGTAACTTCTAATAACTTCCAGTAAATTTTACTAGTGCTGAAATCTTAGTGATATCCTGGTTA